CGTAACCTACTGCTTTTAGTCTAATAAGGATTGGTCAGGTCCTCTGGAATGGTTCTTCTTTATTGAAACATTTTGTCTTTTATCCAAAATACTTTTTCAGTTTGAGTAGTTGCAAGCAAACTCAGGTCCTGTTTACTCAATGCTTTTTTCTTTTTTTAAAAGTGAAATCGCAGCTTTTCTGCTGCCATTCATTCACACAACAACAGCTGTTGTTTTCTCTGAAACCAAAGGTTTCTGAATCCTTGTCTCAAAGTGAAGATTTCGGGGGAACCCCTTGTACAGATGTCAAGTGCTCTACACAATGATGTACATTATACAGTATTCTATAGACATTTTACCAATGACACGTCATTGGCTCCGCAAGTGTGAAGTTGCACATGCGCACTACAGGCGGCTGCAATCAAAAGTTTTTCAGCGCTAACAAACAGTTGTTGTTTTTTACCCCTTCTTTTCTGTGCACATGTTCATCAAACACCACGCACACCTCAGCTTAAAATATCCTCACTCAGCACATATGACATTTTAGGTCAAAATACTATAATTTTAAAGTGATAGTACTATAGTTCATAATTTCTTATCTGGCAACCCTACTGACATGGAAACTACAGCATTTTCATGTAAACCCGCTCTTTTTTTTGTTTATTACCCCCCCAATAAACTTTGAAAACAACTAATGTTTCCAGAAGTTGTTCTCGTGTAATCAGGGCCTCGGTCTTGCAGAATCTTTGCATAGTGGATTAACCTGTGTACTGATGACAGCCAAAACTATTTGTTGACATGTAACATATACCATATACCACTGTGTGGTATCTTAGCTGCACAGGTTCAGAGGAAAGCACTCCAGAGAGTTATCAACACAGCCCAGAAGATTGTGGGCTGCCCTCTTCCCTCACTGGACTCTACACAGTTCCTGCTGTATAGGAAAATCCCACAACTTCTTAAAGGACACGTCTCATCCTGGACATGATCTGTTTGAACTGTTACCATCAGGGAAAAGGTGCAGATCAGTCAAGACAAGAACAAACTGATTTAAAAACATCCTGATTGATGCTCAATAATCCAGGTAGAAAAATCCAACAACGTTAACTAGGGTCCTGCGGACAGTTTCTTTTTGTTGAAACATTATGTCTTTTATCCAAAAGACTTTATCAGTTTGAGGAGCCACAAAAAACTCAGTCTTATAAATGGAACTTTCATATAGTGGGTCAACCAGTTTGATGGTGCTCAGATGGTTTCTGAAGTCCGCCTTCTTCCCCACCAACTTGTTTGAGGCATTCATGGCCAAATTGGTTCAAAATATCCTGGTTGATGCTCAATAATCCAGGTAGAAAAATTCAACAAAGTTAAGTCGGGTCCTCTGGACCTGAACTGGTTGATCCACTATGAGAAGGTGCTGCTTACAAGACTATTTGCTTGCAGCTCCTCAGACTGGAGAAGTCTTTTGGTTAAAATATTTATCTTGAGCTTGCATCAGGAGGACACACTTCTTTTATTGTAGGTAGCTCTCAGTTTGACACACCCATTTTCCCCAAACTGACATCCCTCTTACTGCTTTAAACTGCAATTTAGACACTGGCTACTCCAAACAATGAAAATGACATCATAAAGCTGTTCTATACAATACACACAAAAGAAGCCAATCTTGAGGAACCTAGTTTGGACTAATGCATTTATTTTTATGGGGAGGTTAAGGTGTCTGACTTTATGCAAATTTTCCAATTTGCTTTGGAGTGTTGACTATATATATATATATATATATATATATATGTGAATATATATGTTTTTTTTTTTTGTATTTTTAATATGTATATTTATGTAGAATTTGTTAGAACTACCCATGAAATCGGCAGAACTAAGCTAATCATTAACTTTTCTTGTAGTTATGACAGTGATATTACTCTCCTTGTATAACTTTTAGAGATGTAATAGAAAAAAAATCCCATCCATTTATTTTATTTACCTTCTTTTTCCTTTCGAGGCTACATGGAGCTGGTGCCTATCTCCAGAAGTCACTGTGGGAGAAGTGGGGAACACCGGCCACAAGTCCATCACAGGAAGTGGAGTTAGCACCATCATGCTTGGTTTTGGTCAGTGGCAGGGAAGGGTGGCACCCGTAGAAAACCTACATGTTTACATGTAGAACACGTTGGCTCCACACAGAAAAGCCTGGGGGAAAACCTGACCTTTATTGTGTGAGACGACAGCTTGAACAACGGTACACCTGTGCTGCTGTTGGGTTCCTAATGAAAACCTATTTAATTTTATTTAATTGGGAAAAAATGGTTATTAGAGTACTACACTTGATTTAAAATAATTGTAGTTATATTTTAATTGTTGTAACCTTTTAAAACCTGCCTCCTGACAAAGTGTAATGCATTGTCATGCAGATGGTGGTGCACTGAGTTGTGCTAATGTTAAGGGGTTGTTTTGTTCAGTTTTTGTGCCTTTGTTATTGAGGGCAGCATGTTGCATCATGTTGCGGCACTTGAATCTGCCTGAAGGCAACAAGCCGTCCACGTGTAACTGTTAAAGGTCTCAACTTGCCTCAATCGTCAATCCGCAGTTTTTTTCTGAACACTGTTATCTTCTACTTTGAAATTTTAAGCCGGTACAGCTATCATATAAATTTTCAGTTTCACTGAGAGGTGTTTGCTCAAAAGTTGAACATTAACAGCTGCAGTGATCTCATTCTGCCTGTTGGAAATATCTCATGAACCACTGAATGGCTGCCACAGCAAAGCTATCTCAGCAAAAACACAATTGGCTATAACTAAATTGCTTTTGCAGCTACTGAGCTAAAGTTTGGTGTGGTAGTAGATGAGACTGATCTCCAACTTATACTCTGAGCACTAATTGATCAGGCAAGATTTACGTTTAAAACTTTGCCTTTAAATATTGGGATCTGTCTGCTTGTTTGCAAAATGTCTCAAACTACTGAACAGATTTAAATTAAGCTTACAGAAAATTAATGGTTGTGTAAAAATTATTAACCCAGTTACTCAGGCTGACACAACCAACTGATTCGAGAAAACACAAAAAATAGCCATATTTCAGCATAACACAGATATTGCACTAACATTTGATCTGGTAGTAACTGAGCATTGTCCTTAACGCAAACTTAGAGTACACAGTGGACCAACACCAGCAGATGGCATGGCACCCCAAACAGTGACGTGCGGTGACCTTAGTGACAGGTGAGGCGCTGACTGTCTGGAATTGGATGTTCACATATATGAACCCGAAATAGAACCTTATATTTCAATTTTGCCTTTTTATTTCTTCCTCTCTCTAATACCTTCTATTTTGACTGAAAATATAGTTTAGAAAAATCCTTTAGTTTTGAGATATGATCTTCCATTTTCCAACATCAACATGTGTAGCACATGTCTAATCAAACATGTATATTGATGATATAAAAAGAAACAGCAATGGGCATGCTCCAACCACCTACTCCATATATCGTATATGACACAGCACCCCCAGAGGTGAACCACGGCACGACACTGCTTCACCCAGCGTATTTCTTCCATGTTTGAACAGGTAATGCGTAAATTCTACAATTTTGACCATTGAAGTCTTGAAATAATTCAGAAAACAGTTTTATAAAACAGTTTTTTTAGAACAGTCAGTGGTCAAATGTATTTTCTCTTATCAGTGTTTTACTTGACATTAAGGCAGGTGCGGCACTGCCTCCCCTGACCACACGTCACTGACCCCAAACCATCAACAACTGTGGAAACTTGACACTGGACCTCAAGCAACGTGGATTCTGTGCCTCTCCTCTCTTCCTCCAGACTCTGGGATAATTGATTTCCAAAGGAAATGCAAAATTTACTTTCATCAGAGAACATAACTTTGGACCACTCAGCAGCAGTCCAGTACTTTTTGTCTTTAGCCCAGGTGACATCTTCCGACGCTGTCTCTTGTTCAAGAGTGGCTTGACACAAGGAATGCGACAGCTGAACCCCTTGTCTTGCATATGTCTGTGCGTGGTGGTTCTTGAAGCACTGACTCCAGCTGCAGTCCACTCTTTGTGAATCTCCCCCACATTTTGGAATGGGATTTGTTTCACAATCCTCTCCAGCGTGTGGTTACCCCTATTGCTTGTACACTTTTTTTTTCTACCACATTTTTTCCTTCCCATCACCACTCTCTGGAATGGAATGGAATTACTGAAATAAATCAACATTTTCTTGATATACTATTTTTATGTCTAGCACCTGTATAGGCAGCATTTTTGCACATAACTTTGACATTAACTTTTGGAGTTAGCTTTGTCTGTTAACAAAATAATTCATGAGCCACTGGATGAATTTGGTAAAACTTCTAAAAAGTAATCGTTGGCTGGACAGCTACGACTAACTGTTGGATTCAGCCAAAATTGCAATATGGTCGCCACAGTTTACAGACCTAATCCAACACAAAATAAATAAATTAAATGTAAATCATTTGTTTAATACTTTGAGCATGCACACAAATATTTGATGTGGTAGTAGCTAAGTTATTCTTATTACATTCTTTGAGCATGTAAAATCGCAAAACTGTGTAACGTTGCACATGATGTTGTTTTCAGGCGCGATATGCAGTCCTTCAAGAAACCTTAGGTCTTTAAGTCATAGTGTTGATATTGTGCTGTTTATGGAATTTAGTTGGTTTCATCGGTGTCCCATGGATGATCAACATTACCTGTATAAATAAAGGTTGAATGAACAAAACATTGTAAAGCGACATTTAAAGTTTAATCATTTAAAGAATGTGGTAGATTAAAGAATGTAGGTTAGTTATTAGGTGGCATGTGTGTTTACACAGCGAGCCTTTCCCAGGTGCTCGACAATCCCTAGGATTACAGTGGAGGGAGATCTAACGTGCTCTCTCTCTCACACACACTCACAGAGAGAGAGAGCACCACAATTTCCCTACCCCCCGAAAGGAAAAAGAGGAGGGTAGACAGAAGGAGGTGGAGGGAGATAAGAGATCAGATGGAGGAAGGGAGAGGTAGAGGGGAGTGTGATCTCACCATCCCACCGCCACAAAGACTTCACAGGAGTGAGTGAGTGAGCTGTGCGGCTCTGATGGTGGAATATTCCCTGCAGCATCAACTTTCTGTATGAAGCAGCTGCTGTCTAACCTTGCAGGATGGTGGGACTCTCTTCAGCTGCTGTCGAGGGTAAGTTTAGTAAAAGCTGTCATTTCAGAGCAGGTATCTACAGCTCATGTAGGTGTCAGGCTGTTAGAGGTAAGTGACGATATGGTAAAGCATTGTTTGTAAAGTTGTCTGTTTTACTAGTACTCAGGAAATCAGGTGATGATGTCTTCGGAATCGTACCAAGACAGAGGGTGTTGTTGATTTGTCGAGAATGCAACCATTTGGCAGCAAAGCTCATTGTGGCGAAACATTTGGCATTTTAATCCACCAAAGACTTTTTGTGGGTTGGAATGTGTCATTTTGGATTGGATGCAGGCGAGGATGTTGCGAAACAAACAGATCCCAGATCAGTGAAATGTGACTTTTGACACACTGTGAAGTTGTTTGTGTGTGTGTGTGCGTGCGTGCGTGCGTGCGTGTGTGCGTGCGTGTGTGTGTGTGTGCAGAGCTGAGCAAAGACTGTAAACTCAGCATGAGGGGAAGGTCTTTTGGTGTAAGAAGGGAGCAGGAAAAAAAACCCCACCTACGTGTGCCCAACTGAGGTCACATTATTCCTGAGATGAGAGTTTGTTGGACATGTTAGCACAGGTGCTCATCTCGCTAACATTACTCACCCCCACCCTTAGCTCCATCCCCGACTGAGTTAGAACAAAAAGGCTCCAATGGAAGCTCCTTATAAAGACCTGAGTCTGCAGTGTTAAACAAACTACTCTGCTTTGCAATGACACACACACACACACACACACAAATGGACTTTGCGGAGTCTTACATGGTTGTGAGGAATGTGGCTGGTGTTTAACAGTGATTGTCGGACAAGTGTGAAAGGGTAAATGTTTGAGTGTGTTCAAAGCCGTGGATGGATTTAAACTTCCTTGCATTGTCTATGTCACATACGTGCATGTCTTCATTTGTCTGTTAGCAAAATATTTCATAAACCATTGGATGGATTTTAATGAAACTGTCTGAAAATATTCAGTCTTCGTTCAACAACTGATTAATATTTAGTCAGTCCAATTAAATTATGGCCTCCTCAGCTTAGCGGCTTTACCGATCACAAAAATTACTTTAAATATTTTAATTTGACAGATTTTAAGAATAAATTTGGAGTTGGTATTAGCTGGTATCTATACTCCAAGTCATATATACTGGGCAAAATATTGGCAAAAAAAAAATCTAAATTTTAAATACATTAAATCTCTTATTTAGTCCTGTCTGTTAGCATACCATTTCCTATAAACCATTTCACCATTTCACCAGTTTCAACAAAACTTTCAAAAACTAATCATTATCTCTTCTGTTTACTGTTTGGAGTCAGCCCAATTCAAAATATCTGCTGCAGCTAACCCAGTTTAGCTAACAAAATGTGCAGATAGAGCTAAAATTTTGTTTGGTAGTAGCTGAGAGTCATTCATAACACAAACCTAAAGTGCAACACATTCCACAACAACTTTGCTAAAAAACATCTACATTACCTGCTGACATCAGTCTGGTTTGTTAGCATAATACCTTGTGAGTCACTGGATGGATTTTAAAGAAATGCATAAAAAAACCTGGTTGTTCATCTAAAACTAACATTTGGAGGCACCCCCAATTTAAGATGGCTGTCGCAGCTAATAAACAACACAATATTGGCTCTAAGTAACAAAATATTTGAGAGTGCACATTGCATTTCTTTAAATAAATATTGACCTAAATGGCTCCATCTCTGACATTTATAACCATAAGATGTTGTTTTAAGTTTGGCATGGAAAGTGGAGGGAGACGTATTCCTTCGAGCACGGCTAGACCTTTATTATTAGATTTTCAATGTTTAAGCATATATAAAAAACTAGGCAGTCAAGATAACAACTCTCACCTCAATCAAACCAGATCCAACCTGTTTTATCTTGCACTATAATAATTTAGACATTTGTGTTGATTTATGATTTTATGAAAAGTTCAAGTTTTTTTTTTATTTATTTTACAATACATCAAAATAAAACATTTAAAGTACAGTTTGCAGTGTAGATATAGATCATTTTAAAACTTGTGGAAACCTGCATATGTTAAAGAGGTTATGATTAAGGGTGGTCTTATCCACCCCACATGCTAAAATACTGAAGTACTTCCTTTTTGCACACTTTGGCACAAGTATAATGCTGCTTTAATCCTACGGTCAAATAAGCTTTTTAAAGTGCAGGTCCAAATGAAATATGGAAATAACTTTATGAGCCGGGCATTGAGTTTCATGCCATCTCCTTCAGAGCCCTGATTTAATTCCTCTGATATGTTTGATTTAGTGCTGACTGGTGTAAATTTCAATTTCTCTGCAGTGAATGAGTCATGCTGTGGAAAAGGTTTTGTCTTTCACTCTGCAAGGGGAAGTCCAGTCAGTGCTACACTGAAGCCAGAATCTAAACAGCTGGAGCAGCTGGCAGAGGGACAATATTTTACCAGGCCAAGGTGGCCCGCTCCAGTGAGCTTCCTACCCCCCCAATGAACACTTCCCTCATTTCCTCTGGGTGAATGGAATCCTAATGAGGAGACATTCCAAGTTCCTGCATAAAATAATTCCTGATACCGGCTTCTTGGCATGTCAGCATGCTATCATGAACAATACAATGGTAGGAAACCGTTCTAGCGTAGAAAGCAGCGGGTTTAAATAGACACAAACGAGCTGTGGTTGTTTTTGTTTGACTGTTGTCATGGCAGGCCATTTTTAAGCCTGTAGCAAGACCCACCTGAAGAAATCATGTTGGATTTTAAGACATTTTTATGGAAAGGTTATAAACATTTAATATCTTAACTGTTGAAGATAGTTTATTTGAATGAGGTAAGCAGAAGTCCATGGTGTATGGCTGCTATCTTAAACAGCTCCAATCTCAAAAACGTCACAGCTGTTTTTGGAAATACTTTTACGAACATTGCTAATAACTTCAAAGTATGCAATTATTCCCGCAGAAATAATATGATTTTCCTGTTGAAGTTACGATGGATGTTCAACAGCTAGCTGCTGTTTGTGAATAACTAGGGGTGGAAGGTAACACCCGTCCGTTATCTTTACCCGCTTCTTCCTTTTCAGGTCGCAGGGGTCACTGGTGCCCATGTCCAGCCATCACTGTGCAAGAGGCGGGGGACACACTGGACAGGTCTCCAGTCCATCACAGGGACATAGAGACAAACGAGACAAACAACCATTCTCTTTCTCACTCGCACCTAGAGACAATTTAGAGTTACCAATTAGCCCAACATGCACCTTTTTTATGCATTGCAATGCAAACATGGAAGATCCTAATCAAATTTTCAAAAACTAATTTTAACATTTAACTGAGCAGCCACTTTAAGAGAGACAGCAGACTAGTTGCTGTGCAGTGTCGTTTGTCCCAGTTATCGTCGCTTCTTGTAGTAGAAACATGTTGCAGTAAAGCTGTGTGCACCCTTTTCATCTTTTTTATGCAGAATCTGAAAAAAAAATGCCTGGAAATATGATGAAGGTATCCTAATAGGACTATATTTAATAGTATTTATTTATGTGTTTCATATATGCATTTAGTAATGACTTTGAAATGTTTGATTTGTGACATAAACCGTGCTAATCCCATCCGATTTTGTTTGGCATTTTCATTAGCATCTATGCTAATTACCAGCTGGTGATTAATAAGGTTTTTTGATCTATACTATGCACAGACATGAAAAAAAATATATAAATCAATGTTTCTATATGTAAAATAAGCTAGAGCCATTCAAGTTTCAAGATAAACAAAATGCATCAAACATTTTTATAAGCTCGTTGCAGGCCTCTGAATTGTCTAAAGATTTTACCGTTTAAAAAAAAAAAATACAGCTCTATTTAAAAAATGGTGTATTTTAAAACTAATAGTGCTGTGAGTGTTTAGAAAGAATCTTCATAAAATGCTATAAAAATATGAGAGTGGAATTTTAAGACTACAGCAAATCATTTTGTTTTTGAGCCAACTTGGACTAGACGTTAGAAGGTAGACTAAAACACACTGTTATCACACACAAACAATCACACAGCAGTGTCTCACTAAATTTAATAATAATAATAATAATGTCATCACATTGTCATCACTGTTTGTTTCCATACAATGGCGAAATTAGTCTGCATTTAGTCACAGTGTGCAGTTTTCTACACACAAAGGTTACCAAAGACCAAAGAGACTAGTTTGGCAATAGTTTAATTTAGTTTAACAGTGTTTAACATTGTTTAGCAGAGATTTTAACAAAAATGTCCATGCAGTTGTGATGGATCTTTAAAAATGTTGCTAACAAGGCTTTAACAACATGCAAAGAGAGTCACAGAATACATTTTAAGTCACATTTAATACGAAATATTTAGCGTTTTTTTTTTCAAGCTGTTCTGAATTAACTTTTCGTGTACAACATAAAACATCAACGTTACTTTCCTCGTATTATCACTACCCCTGACCACACTGTTAACAACAATTACACAGCTCTACGTGGTATTCATTGCGTACAAACAGTGATTTTAACATATCCTCATAAACAATGAAAAATATGACGTATGACGTATTAATTGTGAAATAAATGCTACAGAACTGCTATTAAAATAAAAAGTAACAGAATGTTACCCTCTGTTGACGCAACTAGCAGCCATCTTGAAACATTTATGTTGTTTTACGTCGGGTAGGATTGTGTTGCTCCGACTTTCCAACTCAGAATTCTGACTTCAGGATGAGTTCCAGTTGAAATTTCTTATCAAGAGGTTGGAAGTTCCAACTTCCCAGTACAATTGCAATGAGGAATATTTCTCCAAACTGACATGGCATTAGGATCTACTATACTTTATAACATATATTACTATCTTTTTAGAACCCCACTTCAAAAGTTCAAAATATTAAGGCCTGTTAACACTACTCTGGATACTTTTTTTTAAAGCTGATAATTTCTTCTGTATTCACGCCTCTTGTCTATATGAGTAATTCAGCTCAGTTCTACTTTCCCCAAGATCTCACAACATAACATCATAAGCTGATTTATAAGGTTCAACCATAATATTTTTTAAATGGAGACATAACCTATCCAGGGTAGTATAGACCGAGACTTTTGCCTGAATGTATTTATATGTTCTTAAAACCTGCACTCAGCGAGATGTGCAATGGTCTTTGGAATGCAGTTCCTAGAGTCATGACCAAAAGCTTAGTGTTGACACACCTCACTAAATACACAACAGAAGTCTGTGTGTGTATGTGTGTGTTTGTGTGTGTCCTGTGCTACAGTGCTTTTTGCCAAATGACCGTTCGGTGAACACAAAATAGTGTTCTGGCTCAGCAGCTGTCCCATGTCTGACCTCAGCAAGATGCATAGTTCAGAGACTCATTCTCCCGGTCTGTGAAAATGGAGTGATTTGAGGAGTGAGTTGAATAAAGAGATGTAGGGAGGGAAAGGTCAGGGAGGTCAGTGTGAACAAAGTCTTATAAAGGATTTTAGTGGATTAAAAAAGTGAGCATGTGGGGAGGCAGCTACTTGGCAATAATGATGTTTTCACCTTCAGGGATCTTGTGGTTCAACATGAGTTTATAAAAGAATCTGGACCACTACACCCAGCAGGTTGCAAAGCTTTTCCAAACGTATCCTGTTGGGTAAAAAAGTGGTTAATTTAGAAACCATCCAGAATACCTGACTGAACATCGTTGGGTTAATTTAGGGTTTACTCTGAAAGCATTAGAGTGGACTGGGCCCACAGATGTGAAAATAAATTCCTACCAGCTGAGTCTTCAGAGTTACAGAGCCAGGTGAGTCCCATGAAATGCTGCCTGAGACAGATATGTTGTGCATCCATGACCCGAGTCTCCCAAATGTTAAAGTTCGAGTTCCCAGGTAGAAATGTTCACTTTGCCAGCGTACTCAGTGGTCCTTGGGTTTGTTTTCCAATTTAATTTCCTAAACTACCTAATACAAAAGAGAAATACAGTTTTGGCCTGGATGTATTTGTTTTTGTCTGTTGTGTTAGCAAAATACTTCATCAACGTTGGACGGATTTAAATGAAATTTAGCAAGTGAGCACTTGATGGACTCAATTTATTTCAAGATGATCTCCACAACCAGACGACCTTTGAAAACATGAAAATAGCTATTACTCAGTCTATTTTACAGATACTGAACTAAAAGTTCATGTGATAGTAGCTGAAAGTCATTCACAACACATAAATAGTAAATGGACTGTACTTACTGTATATAGCACCTTTCTATCTTATTGAGATACTCAAAGTGCTTTACACTACAGTCTGTGTCCACATTTACCCATTCATACAGCATTCTACTATATAATAATAATAATGTGTTATGTATTGTCATCATTGTATGTTCTCATACAATAGCAAAATAGGTTCTGCATTTAACCCATCCACCACCAGGTGGATCAGTGGGCAGCTGTGGAAAGCGTCCGGGGAGCAACTGGGCATAATGTATCCTGCTCAGAGACACCACGAGATGTGCAATGACCAGGGATCGAACCCGGGACCTTCGAGTCCCGAGTCAGCTGCCCTGCCCCTACACCATCTGTGCTTTTTCACATTCAGAATCAGAATAAACTTTATTGGCATTGCACCAAGATACAACACGAATATGTACGTACAGTCATCCGAAAGATGGGCGGAGTGCACAAAGCTGCGGCTATTAAAAGTGCGGCCTTCTTATTCTTATTCTTATTCAGAATAACATTTTGCTTAGATGAGAAAAGGGAAGAAAACATGAGGCGAGATGGTATTAAAAAAAAATCTCTCACGCCGTGTCCTAGACAGGGCACGATTTGAGGCATAAAAAAAAACCTACCACAGCAAAGAAACATAAGTAGACATTATACATGTACATATAGGCCGGTGAAGACATTTAATTTTTAAGGGAAAGCCATAGCATGGTCCAGAGCCCCCCCTCTCAGCCATTGTCCAGATAAGAGGTGTCATTCATCATAAGCTCAGTTGAGGTTCTGTTACATGTCCACAGCCTTGGGGAAAGGAGGGGTGAGGAGACAAGCAAAGCGTCTTTGTTGTTTTCATAACATGCCAGGTGGAGTTGAGATAAGTCTGGCATCAAGGCCACAGTTTGGGTCAGGCAGAACTCGTGAATTGCTGTTTCTATCTTTTTAAAGTCTCACTGGTATATATTCCTCTGATGGAAATGCCAAAACAGCCGAATTGATCCTTTATGCCAAATGTTGAGCTCACAGCTTCTCCAAGATTATTTCCACCATTCATGGGTGCTGCCAGAAAGTTCACAGTCCTGATAACAGCTGCTCCAGCTCCCTGCTGCAGCTCCCCAAATTCAGTCTGAGTGTTGTCAAGTTTCGACACATCCACACAAATTTATAGACAATTCAGAATTCACCAGCCAAACAGCAAAAAAAAACAGTTGTCATCATGAATCAATTTGTTTCTGTCGAGGTAAGAGGGTCCTCCTTACCCTGACTCCTGTCGGGAGAAGTTGATCAATTTTGTTGTGAGATCAGCTGATCCTTCGAATTAAGAGGTATGCAGAAAAAAAGAGAGGCTTTTTAAGGGTTCACAGGACAAAAGAGTGCAAGCAGGGAAGTGGATGTGTGTGTGGGGGGGAGACCAGGGAGACACGTCTGGTTTCACCGGAGGACAGAGAGAGAGAAAAAAAAAACATCGGCAGCAATGAGGGGTTCCTTGTCTTGCCCAAGGACACGGCAGCATGTGACTTCTGGTGGAGTTGAACCCCCAACTCTCCCATTGGAGGATGAGTACTTTAACCACTCAGCCACAGCTGTCCTCACAATAGCTTTGATCAAAATTCCAGCATTACCCGCTGGCATCAACCTTATTTATCTAGCAAAGACTCTTGTGAACCACTGGATGGATTTTAATGAATCTCACAGAAATAATCATTGGTTGCTGTTTGTCTTAAACTGGTTAACAATTGGAGTCACCCCAATTCAAGATTGGCGTCAAAGCTAATCAACATTACCCAACAAAACTAGGGGTGCACCAATTGCAGTTTTCTGGCCGATCACCGATTTCTAAAAAGTCTGACTTGCCGATTCCGATTTTGGCTGATACTGATTATGTTTTATTAGCAACACTGTCCCACTGTAAATGGTGTCCCGGTTGAGTTTGTTGATTCCTATAAATATTTGGGTATCTTGGTCGACTCGCATCTCTCCATGTGGAAAACCTAATAAAGAAACTGAAAGTTAAACTGTTTTTTTTTTTTTTTCAGAAATCCTGTTTAACTCTGAATGCTAGGGATTACCTTGTAACTGTGACTTTCCTTCCCTCCATTGATTACGGTGACATTAATTACATGAAGGCTCCTACAAGAACCCTGCAGATGTTGGACACTGTCTATCACGGTGCACTAAGATTCATAACTGGCTGTGATTATTGTACCCACCACTGCACCCTGTATTCACTGGTTAACTGGTCACCATTAACTTCACACAGACTCTCTCACTGGTACATTTTCATCTTTAAATCACTTCTTGGTCTGCTGCCTTCATACATCTCTTCCTACATGTCACTGCATGAGTGCAGCTACAGCGTGCGCTCTCAGGACATTATTACCTGCAGTGTTCCCTCAGTGAGGACTGAACTTGGCAAAATGGCCTTCTCCTACTCTGCTCCTGTTTCTTGGAATTTCTTACAAAAAGACCTGAAACTCTCGACCTTGACCTCTCTAAATGGCTTTAAGAATCTGTTGGAGTCCTGGCAGGGCCCAATGCAGACATGTTCCTGTTTTTAGTTTTCTACATTCGCCTTAGAATCTAGCTGTTTTTATGTTGCATTTTTTGCCATCTTATTTGTAAAAAATAAAAAAATAAAATGTGTATGCCTTTTTATAACTGTCTATTGCTGTCCATTGTTGTCCATTGTTTTCATCATTCTTTGTTGAAATCAGGTCTCTCTTGTAAAGGAGTCCTCGAGGCTCAATGGGATTTACCTGTCTAAATAAAGATTGAATGAACTATCAGGTGTTATAAGGTCACAATGCACCTTCAATTTTCCAATATTATTTTGTTGAAAAACATACCCCTGAACAATATATGTTTTTTTCATTTACCCATCAGTTATCCAGGTAGTCTCATTGAGCCATGAGAACTCATTTTCAAGAGAGACCTGTTTAGGGAGCAGATGGTGGGGGTTAAGGGCCTTGCTCAGGGGCCCAGAGTGGGGCGAATGAGGGTAGTGTGGGTGTTTCACCTTTTCCACCCACATTTTGATGTTGTCGGTACCGGGAGGTGAACCTGCGACTTTCCGATCACAAGCCCAACTTGTAACGTCTGCGCCACCACTCCCTCCCTATTTCTATCCTAGAAACAATACAAACTTGTTTAACTGGCCATGAGGTAGTGCTCTGAAATATAAATGAAGTTCAGACAATTGTTGTTAAAACAAAAAAAATCGGTTTCTCATGCAAGTATCAGCCAATTTTTCAAAATTAAGGTTATCGGGGCCCTTACACAAAACAAAGGCTATAACTCAGTCAAATGTATAGATATTTTTGCTTGAATATACTGTATATGTGGTAACAGCTTAGCCCAATTCACAACGCACACTTTGTATGACATTAATTTAACCTTTATTTATACAGGTTATCCTTCTCTGTATCCTAAAGATGATTTTTATTCTTCAGAAGTAAATATTTCTGTGTACAGTCTGAGTTAATTAGCATTTAGCAAATATTTATCCTGTTACTGAAGCTTCTGTTTCCTATTTAGTCTGGTTCGACTGAAGGCGGGGTGGGGTGGGGGTTGTGACAAGATGGTTATTGACAGTCTGTGATGTCAAGTGACTAAATGAAAGGAGAAGGAAGCACTAAAGAGCTCCGAGACATGCACCGTAGGTTTGTTTAGACTTGTCCCTCTGACTTTTGACCTCTTTGTTTATAAACTAAAGCCGTCCTCCCTGACCTTTTGCCGCCCCCTTCCCTCCCTGTGTAGCCATGGAGGTGCTGGTGAGTGAGCTGGGCGTGTTGCTGAAGATGCTGGATCAGGAGAACCTCAGCTCCTCCGCCCTGGAGAAGAAGACGTCAGTGAGGAACCTCCTACAGCAGATCCAGCCGTCGTCAGGTCAGAGCTGAGTGGATGAATCTGTGGGATGTTGCAACTATTTTTGTGGTTTTAAAACTGAAAAGAAGCTAAATTTGAATGTATCGTGTGGGAACGTCAAAGCTGAGTTTTAATAAAGACATAACAGGTTTTGAAAGTACAATTGTGTTACTAAAATTGTATAAATATGTTGTTTTATTCATAAATTACAAACTCAAACGTTCGTTTCACAACAACAGCAGTATCCGAACATCCACACTGAACTAATTTTATTGTATTACGAATGATATAGTTTGGATTATATGTTCCATTCATTTTGAGCCCTTCAGTATTGCCTGTCACCACAGCAGAATGGTGGAGCAGAGGTTAGAGAAGGTGGGCCTGTTATCGGAAGGTTACTGGCTCAACTGCCCGGACCAACTACATCAAAATGTGGGTGGGAAAGATGAAACGCCCACACCTGCCTCCATCCTCATTTGCCCCACTCTGGACCCTTGAGCAAGGCCATTAACCCCCACCATCTGCTCCCCTGGACACCCTAGATAGCAGCTCTCTGCTCCACACAGAGGGCTGTGGTAGCTTGGTGGTCTGTGGTTGAGTCAAGAAGGGCATCCAGCGTAAAAACTGCCAAGTCTTGGTGCAAGTTAGTTCGCTGTGACGACCCCGGAAGAAGGGAGCAGCTGATAGAAGAAATATCAAATAAAATATTACCTGCCACCATAAACCTGTATAATCAGACAAATGTTTGTATAAATGTTTGCTCATTTGTTTGCTAGTAGAAAATCCTATGAACCACTGGACAGATTTTAATTAGATTGTCAAAAATAAATGGAAATTAATAATGTTTGGACTCAGCTCAACTCAACATGGCTGCCTGAGCCAAATAATATTATCAAAAAATAAATTATCTGTAGATCAGTCAATTTCATTTATACCTTATTTATTATTTTTATTTATATCTTATCCATCCATCCATCCATTTTCTTTACCCGCTTATTCCATTTTGGGTCACGGGGGTCGCTGGTGCCCATGTCCAGCAATCACTGTGCGAGGGGCGGGGTACACCCTGGACGGGTTGCAAGTCCATCACAGGGACACATAGAGACAAACAAACATTCACTCTCTCACTCACACCTAGGGACAATTTAGAGTTACCAATCAGCCTAACATGCATGTTTTTGGACTGTGGGAGGAAACCGGAGTACCCGGAGAAAACCCACGCATGCACGGAGAGAACATGCAAACTCCACCCAGAAAGGCCCCTGGACCGGGGTTTGAACCAGGGACCTGCTCGCTGAGAGGCAGCAGCTCTACCAGTTGCGCCACCGTGCTGCCTACATTTATATCTTATATATATATATATTTAATTTCCCTTTGGGATTAATAAAGTATTTTTGAATTGAATTGAATGTATCAAGTTTCACAATGGCACTATATTATAAATACATATATACATTGTTTTTGTGAATGCTGTTTTTAATTTAATAACAGTGTTTTTTTTATATATATTGTGTCCTCCAGAATCCAGAGCAGACTTCATCTACGTGAACTCGTCAGTGTACAGAAACGGGACGAGTTTTGTGGAGTCTCTATTTGAGTCGTTTGGTGCGTTGGATTTTTGATGCTTCACTGCGATTCATGTGCGGAAAGTTTGTTTAAATGTAAGTTGTTTCTCTTTATAGACTGTGAGCTTAAAGGTCTAAAGGAGGTTACAGATGATCTCAAAGATGACAAGCTGACACAAAGTGACTCTTTAAAACAGGCAAGTGGAAATAAAAAATATATATGATGTTTGTTCTGATTATTTATAGTTGTAATAGCTTTAATCTCAGAGATAAAATGACCAAGCATGTGTTTAAGATGAGTACCGTGTTTTTTCTTCAGCTCTGAGTCGCCTGTTCCTGCTTGACAAATGAGTATTGCACCTCCTTATAATGATTTATGGAGACAGGGCAATGAAAAACATACAGATCGTATTTCATGGATGTGGGGTTTTCCCATGTTCACATGCTCATCACTCTGTGTTTGGTTGGAAAACTGAGCATTCGGGGGTCCACCCATGTGTTTAAGTTAGAGAAGTCATTTTCTGTAAAGGTTTATATTCTGCACATCTTTGGCTTCAAAAACGAATAAAAAAAAAAACAACAACTTGGTGATTGGGAAACCTAGAAGTTTGTTTGTGTTTATGCAGCTCCCTCCTTCACAGAGCTGTGCAGACACCCCTCCCCCTCTGCCCACTACGCCTCCCCCTGAGGAGTACTACGAGGAGGCCGTGCCCCTCGGTCCTGGCAAGCTGCCCGAGTACATAATCACTACACGAGGTCAGCACGCTCCCCACCTCAGCTCAACTCCGTGACCTTATTGTCGGCTTTCTGTAAAACCTCTAAATCAGTACTTTGAATTATCCAACTATATCCACAAAGAGATTTGTTGCAAACATAATTACAAAGCAGACATAAGAGCATGACGGAGCATGGGTAAAATTTACATGTCTTCTATTTCCAGACAGGCCCAGCCCTCCCAACTCTATTGAAGATTGCTATGAGGAGACTGAAAGCCCCTACCCATCGACCTGCATTAACTCGCATCGCAAAAACTCCTGTGAGCTCACTACAGTTTTCCAAAGCTGCTTTTTTTTTTCAGCCAATAAAACATTTACTGACTCTTTTGGTTCTCTCTCAGACAATGACTCTGATGCGCTGAGCAGCTCCTATGAATCCTATGAGGAGGAAGAAGAGGAGAGGAGTCCCAGAGTTCAACTCACTCACCAGTGGCCCTCGGATAAGAGCTCCATGCCTCCTGCCAGAGACTGTCGCATCTGTGCATTCCTGCATCGGAAGAAACGCTTCGGCCAGTGGGACAAACAGTTCACGGTTATACGGGAGAACAGACTACAAGTGAGAAGTTTACTACTCTCATAACTGGTTTCCCTTAAAGGAGTACCGTAGTTCAGATATTTTTCGGCAACTGCTGAAAGCCAGCGTCCTTGTCCGTGTGTTGGGTTGTTGTTTTGGTGAAATAGCTCATGATCTCTTCTTGGATATTTTTAATGAATCTTTTAGAAGGTGTTCATTGGATTTGCATCTACAACTGATTATACTTTTCAAACCAATTCAAGATGTCTGCCACACCTAATGGATCTTGTCAATGAACAATATCTGTGCATTTGTCAAATGTACAGATATTGTTCAAGTGTTTGGTGTGGTACTCGCTGAGAGGCATTCTTAACCCATACTTGAGTACCGTACTAACAAATTGAGCAAAATCTTACAATATTGCATGTGTTTGTCTATAACCTTATTTACAAATTTTGACTAAACCAACTATACAGGAGTCCCTCGATTATCGCGGGGGTTATGTTCCAGACACCACCACAATAGGTGAAAAACCATGAAGTAGGAATGCTATATTTATTTTAGTATTTATATATATTTTAGGGCTTTATAAACCCTTCCCACACTCTTGCAATGTTCTAAACTCTTAAACTTTAGTAATTTTAACAACATACTTATATACGAAGGAGCTTTAGGGCCACGCCAAAAAAAAAAATAATTAAAGCCATAAAATTACGAGAATAAAGTCATAAAATTACGAGAATAAAGTCATAAAATTACGAGAATAAAGTCGTACGAGACTTTTTTTTAACAGCTCTCGTTTATTTTTTATTTTTTTCCACGAGTCTGATCCACGACGCGACCTGTCAGTTAATCCAGTAGGCGTGTCAGCAAATGACCAATCCGAAGCTAAATGCTCCTATAAGTGAGTCGCTGTTTCTCTTCAGCCTCTTTCTGGCATATTTATTTAAGACCTCTAACAGCGCTGCACACAGTTTCTCTCACTGAGCGCCGTTTTCAAACGGAAACAAAAACGAAAGTCATGACGTAATGACATCACGTATTTGCACCCCAGAAGCAGCGTACAAAAACACAACAGTAGGTGACGGTATTGAAACACGTTTTGAGTAAGAACGTCAATAACAATAAAGTTTAACAAACATTCTTCATGTTACCACAGTTAAAATGCAGTAAACCTGCTTTATCGTGTCCGAGTTCAGATAATATTACGACTCATTTAGCTTCGGATTGGCCATTTGCTGACACGCCTACTGGATTGATTGACAGGTCGTATCATGGATCCTACTCGGGGGGGCAGCTGTTAAAAAGTCTCATACGACTTTATTCTTGTAATATTAAAACTTTATTTGACTTTATTCTTGTAATACTATGACTTTATTTTCGTAATTTTATGGCTTAATTTTTTTTTTAAATTATCGTGGCAATGTAATTTTTTTATTTTTTTTATTTTTATTGTGGCTCTAAAGCTCTGTTGTGCCTATATGTACTGTAAAGTACTGCAACATTTTACTCACCAGCTCTGCAGACCAGCTGCTTGGCTCCGGTTCAGCAGACTCACCCTGCAGTGATGAAGCTCACCGCCCTGTCCAGGTGGATGTGCACGTGGATAATTGAGCTTCAGGAAGCTTCAGGATGATTTGCAACTTTCCTCTCAGTTCTGTGAGCTTAAAAGATGGATTGTTACTTCTGACTTTGCATTTGCAAAACTAAACTTCCATTTCAGCAGAAAGCAGCGTCTGGAAGCGATGTTGGCTTCTGGGCCGTGTAGTTCTTTTGACTGGTGTTACAGTATAGGCTTATTGAAAGAAAACTACAAAATGGCAGTCCCTGTCTGAATATTTTTTTTTCCGTAAACTTTGTATCCCGTAACGTCCCAATCACGTGAGTAATATTAAAGTTGACCATTGCGTGTCTTACTTTGAAAAACTGCAAAAGTTGAACCGTGAAGTAGCGAGGGACTTCTGTAATCTTTTCACTTTTCATCATAAAATGAGCGAAAACAATTCTAACATGAAAGGTGACAGGCAATCTGCATTTTTTTATGGAGTGCTAGGCCTTTTAATCTGAAGTGATGTTCTATGGGAAGTTGTAAATAATCAGTATTTTAACTGCCTCTTGAAACAACCTTAGTTTGGAGAAGTAGTTTTTTTTTTACTGAATAGACTGATGATGACCTGACAGCTCAAATTAAGTTATCTGAACTACATTTTCTGTCTCTTTCCTTAAACTTGTTTCCTCCTGTTTTTAGTGCTACAAGAGTTCCAAGGACACATCTCCTTATGTGGACTTCCTTTTGCCCCAGTGCACTGTGGTCTATGTTCCTAAAGACAGCAAGCGAAAGCGCCACGAGCTAAGGTTCACCTTACCCAATGGAGATGCGTTGGTGCTGGCAATGCAGAGCAAGGAGCAGGCTCACATGTGGCTAAAGGTAAAATCTGTCGCTTTCTAGCAAATGCAGACTACTCAGATTTTTCTCGTTACCGATGGATTTATCAATTTCATTGCGATGTAAAAATGTCCCTGCAGGTTGTTAGAGATGTGAGTGGTCAAAGCGTAGGGCCAGAAGAAGCAAGGTCTCCTGTTGTTCCAAGAAAAAATGAGCTTGACAAGGTAAGTGTAGTGGAAAGGATGAACAAATTTCCCTGTTATTTCAATTCCTGAGGTATAATTTCACAGCTGAGGTGAGGAAAGGTCTGGCTGAAGTAGCAATTGTGCTGTCACCATCAATTTTCCTAAACAATTCTTTTGGCTTAACGCAGCGTATAGAGGTACCTGTGTTGGTCTTGCAAAGGTGGGAGGAGATATGATGCATAATTAGGTGTTAAGACAACAATGACAGGGGCGGCAGTGAGTCAGGACTCGAACATCCTCTGAAGCTTACTGAACATTTTTCAAACATAAACTCTGAAAGTTTTTGACCCAGATGAAATAAAGTTGGACGGAGAAATAAAGCAAACAATGTGGCTCTTTGTCTCAGGATATCTACTGTCTTTAAATGTAGTTATTCAGCTTTTATTCATCCAATGCAAGTGCAGACTTTTTTTTTTTTTGGTGGGGGGATCTTCCAGGTGAAAGTCTAAAACTTCCATTGTGTTTTTCCTCCACAGAGATTATCTGCAGACAGAAACACATCGGATTCAGACAGTGTGGGTGTTTCAGCAGGAGAGAACAGCAGAGAAAATGGTGAGGAAGTAGCACAATTAAAAATAACAACTCAAGATCTGACACCCCCCCCCCCCCCCCCAATTTTATTTACAACTGCATGTTTTATCAAATTATGTCTGCTCATTTCACAATTCACTTACTTCTGAGGTGGGTGACGGCGATGAGAAACATTCATGCTCCAGGAATACAGTCATGGGAAAAAAAGAAAGCCCACCCTCCTTTAAAACTCAGGTTTTACATATGAGGGCATTATAAAAGTGATCAAGTTCTAAAATTATTCAAACCTAACCTCAAGTGTACAAAAGGCACAGCAAATTCTGCCATATCATTATGGAAAAGCTGTGTCTTGTAAAGCTTTGTCATATGGATACACCTGGCTGCGGGTGTGTGTGTGTTAACACAATGCCAAGGAGAAAAGAAATCAACAATCACCGTAGAGAAGAAGCTGTTGCTGTCCATTAGTTGAAGGTATTTACTAAACAATATGGAGTCCATCTATCAATAGTGAGAAAACTACTGACAAAGGAAAAACATTTGATAGCTCCTAGGAGTGGGCATTGCATCAGTCACCCCAAAGTCAGACCATGCAATGCTCAAATTACAAAAAAATCGAAAAAGCTTCATCTCAGACTCTACTTACTTCAATTAGCAGGTTAAAAGTTAAAGTTCACGACAGGACAATTACCGTATTTTCAATTACCGTACACGTCGCACCGCCCTATAAGTCGTATCGGTCCTAATATGTCTAATAAAGTGGAAAAATCCATAAATACATTGCTTCGCCGTATACATCACATCTATTATGCGTCACCGCTGACGTGTTGCGTTTTTTACGCGTAACCTCTGACAATCCGGAAATGACAAATGGCGGCTGTGGGAGCGTGCACGGGAGGACTTTAACAAGAATTTAACAAGATAAACACGTAAAAACAATTATTTGTTTGCTCAAAATTATAGTAAAGGTGCATCTCAGTTTAACTTTTCCTTAATAAATGCACTTTGATGGTCAAATCAGCTGCATTTCAAAAGTACTCGCTGCCTCGGTGCTCCGGGTGCGCTCTCTGAGGGAGGAAATCGGGAAGGAAGAATGCCGTGCTTTTCTTTGAAATTTAACAAGATAAGCACCTAAAACAATTATTTGTTTGCTCGACATTATAGTAAAGGTGTGTCTCAGTTGAACTTTTACTTAATAAATGCAGTTCAATAGTTAAATTAGCTGCATTTCGCCGGGGTGGTGCAGTGAAATGAAGCTGATTGGACGAAGGTAGCAGACTGTGGCAAACTGATTGTGTCATTAATAGCCACTTTTACCTATTACATGACACAAGGGCATGCCATACTACGCGAGTGCCATCTAGCGGCTGAAAATGGTAGTGTTCAATATTTTCAGTCAGAATGAATGAAAACGGTCATATCTTTGCCAAAAATTGGTTTATAAATACAGGGGGAAAAGCCATGATAATAAATATGTCACTTCGGTGTATAAGTCGCAGGGCATGTAAATTATGCAAAAAACTGTGACTTATAGGCCAAAATATACTGTAGATAAAAGATTGAATCAGTATAACCTAATATATACTGTAGTACATTTAAAAGGGTTCCCAGGAGAAAGCCTCTTCTCTCTCTCTCTCAAAAAAGAGCACAATCTGTGCAGAAACATGTCTTCAAAACTCAAGGAACTGATGCAGTGTTGGAAAAAGAGTGGACTAAATGTCACAACAATGTGACCGATTGATAAAGTTATTCACAAAATGAGAGCATCAACAAAATATTTGCAGTTAAAGCTGGTTCTACAGATTCCTGAATCACTCAGTGTACTTATTTATGCTTCTCTATTTTAGCTTTGTTTTTGTTGTTTGCATGTTGGAGCCTGTTTGGAGGGAGTGGTGGCACAGAGGTTCGAGAAGGTGGACCAGTGATCTGTAGGTCGCTGGTTCGACTGACAACATCAAAATGTGGGTGGAAAAGGTGAAACACCCACACCTGCCTCCACCCTCATTTGCCCCACTTTGGGCCCTTGAGCAAGGCTCTTAACCCCCACCATCTGCTCCCCTGGGCGCCCTAGATAGCAGCTCTCTGCTCCACACAGAGGGCTGTGGTAGCTCGGTGGTCTGTGGTTGCATCAGGAAGGACATCTGGTGTGAAGACTATTGCCAAGTCTTGATGTGAGTTAGTTCGATGTAACGACCCCTGAGAAAGGGAGCAGCTGAAAGAAGAAGAAGAAAAAAGAGTTTGTTGTGGCCTTTGTGTTTTTTGTAAACTACGTTAGATTAGAATAATTAGAATAAGAGAACCTTTTATTACATTCCGATATACAACATCAGTGAACGTAAAGAGACTAGACTTTATTTTCCCACGACTGTTCATGCATGTGTATATTTTAGTTCCCACCATAGATAAATCTGTGCCAGAAGCAGCAGATTAATCCGATCTTTCTTCTTTTTCTCTAATTATTTTTACTCTGATCATATTTCTGTCCTCATTGCTCCTGAAGGAAGCAAAGAACGATCATCAATAATAGCGATCATATAAAGTTGATCATTGATCTCTATCCGCTTCACACTCAGAGAAGAATATTCACACAACACAACCCTTCATCGTGGTTAGCGAGACCAATCACTTTAGAAACGCATTTCTCAAGTTAGGAACGATAGAAATGATCCCTGAAAGTACAGTTTTGCATCAGATTAATCCTGAACGTTTTATTTAGCTAAAGCAAAACGAGGAGCTTTTTCTGCGGGACGCAAAATCACACGTATCATCAGCTTCTCCAAGAAGAAGACTCCCAAAACGGCCTGTGCAGACCCTCGACAAGGTAAGCCCCCGCTTCACTCTTATACTTTAGTTTCTGCCTTCTTTGCAGACACATCATTTTTCTTCCTGTCTGTGCCCATCGCAGGCCACTTGTCTGTGCTGGTGAACCAGGTGTGGCAGGAACAGTGGTGTCGTGTCAGCAGAGGCTTTATGCACTTCTACCATGACAGGGGGGACCCCCGGGTCTGTCTGGCTTCCCTTCCTCTGCACGGCTGTGAGGTGGTTCCTGGACTTGGACCCAAACACCCCTTTGCTTTTCGTATTCTCCAAAACAGCACAGAGATGGTTGCTCTCGAGGTACTCTGCTTATTTCTTTATTCTAAAAATATAAAAAATGCACACATTCTTGTGTTGACTTTATAAGAACAATTAAACTTGATGAAATAAAAGCAGTTCAAACGTGAGGCGACTTGCTGAGGACAGCATTTTAGAGACGTCTTCCTCCAACGTAGTGTTTGTTGACCTTTGATTGAGGCTCATTTTTCTCACTGTTGTCGTCTCGCACAGCACCAGACAGATGGTGTCACTTAAAAAGCTCCGAAGAACTCAAATAAACTCACAGAGCAATAATCAGCCCATGAGCAAGATGTTTTTCTAAGGTGGAGACCAAGCCAAAGTAAAAAAGATAAGCAAATATTGGGCCTTCACGGGGAGAAAACTGCTCGCTCCAGTTCTCCTGAAAGAACTAGGATATGAGATAATGATGTTTTATTATGAAACTATTTTGGCATTCAGAAATAACATTTGTTTCATCCTTTGTAAGGCAAGCAGCTCCGAGGAACTCGGACGGTGGCTCGGTGTCCTTCTGGCAGAAACGGGCTCGTTTGCTGACCCGGAGTCTCTGCATTATGACTACGTTGATGTTGAAACCATAGCAAACATTCGTGACGCGGCACGAAATTCTTTCCTGTGAGTTGGACGGGGTTGGGTCTGGGATGTGTGGACGAGGTCAGAGGCAGCCAGTGATGCTTATTATTCTCCTCAATCTCTCGTCCCAGGTGGGCCACCTCCTCCAGTGGTACCTCTACAGATTCCAGGACATATGACGAGGTTCCTAATGAGGACTTGCAGGTGGTAAACACACGCTTGTGTATAAATACGCATATGTGTGTATTTTCTAAGTTTAGCTGAACCATATGTGTGATGCTTTGCTGTGATGTCATCACATTAGAGGTTTAGTGAGGGAAAATCTTCAAGACACCCACATAAATCCACAGTGGTGTGTTAGACAGAAGAAGACAAAAAAATACACGCACACAGTTTGGACAGGAGGGTAGAAGACTGTCACAGTTAAATACAAATACACACACCTTAGCTGTTTCCTGGTATATCTATGTACAAGTTTCAGAGTCAGAGTCAGAGTTTCTTTATTGTCATTCGCACCTCATGTGGTACATGTGGTGGAGCGAAATTATGTACACAGGGTCCCAGTTACATCCAACAATAAAATGTATAAGAAAAACAGTAATAACATCTAAGATATGAACTAAGAAAAACATCAACTAAATATACACTAAGCACTCATAACATAAAACATTGAACATCAGCACAAACATGAACATGAGTCTGTGAGCAGATGTGCACGCATGAACACATCAACATTGAAACAGATCAGCAGCAACATGAAACAGATCAGCAGCATCAGCAACAAGTTTATTGCTAACCCTAATAATCTATTCTTACTTTTTCCCCTTTTGCCCTCATTCTCCCATATGTGTCGTCGTCCCGTCCCCCCCCCCCCCCCCCCCCCCCCCCCCCCCAGAGCGTCGTCCCCCCCCCCCCCCCCCCCCCCCCCCATCACCTCTTCATCTTCTCCACTCCACCCAGTCAAGAGAAAACCACAAGCAGCAATCTGGGAATCAAGAGAAGCGACGCTCAAGTTTCTCCAACAGCGACGTTGACAAAAACACCAAGTCCTTAGTTTCCCTGAAGCGAACCGGCTGGAGTGAGTGCGTTTAAGTTCAGTTGGTTTAGTTCTGTGGGGTTGGATGGGGTGAGACCTTTGTTTATACAGTGGGACTGGGGAGTCATGTTTTCATGTGGTTTCATGAGACAATTGTACAGGGCAGATTTATGAACTTAAACGTCAACATATGGGAGTTTCAGTAACAGAGACAAAATGTTGAAAATGTGATTTTTCATTGGCTGATGAAGCAAAACTGCTTACTGAGCAGCTTTCAAAAAACACGTTTTATTCAGGTATGCAACAATTGCTTGGCTGGACACATTAAAAGATAGCTCGACTGGTCTAAGGCACTCAGTACTAATTTGTACTTTTACCACCGTGCAACCTGCTTTGGACATAGTGGATGTTGTTTCATGCACAACTTGTGGCATTTAGTTCTCATGTGCTTACTTACCATTATGTATCCATGTATTTCTGTCTTTGTCTGAGGTTGGTTATATACAGTATTATCTTGCTGACCTTTCCTTGATGCTCCATAGCTACTCAAGGTTTGGTGTGGAGAGTGACATAAGGTATTCTCAACTCAAGATAAGGTCAAAACCTGAGTACATGGTTCTCACTTTTCTGTTGTTTGGATGTATTTCAGGGGAAACTGAAAGCATCTTTCAGTGATGTGACTTGTAGTGTTTCTGGTGCCAGGACGTTTTGCATAATCAAACACACAAGGGGACACCTGTTTGTACTATGTTTAAGTTAGTTGTGTTCTGTTTTGAAATGGAGTATGTACTTTGTACTTTATATATGGGATCCTGAAGTATTCCCAGACCAAGGAGGATATACAGTATAGTCTCGCCAACAAGTTCTGTAAAAAATAATGTGGAAGAGAAATGCCTCTACTTTGAGCTCTTCCTAGATGATGGACCTTCATACCTTTTGGTAGCTGAGCATGGATCCTGCTCTTTCAGTCTTGGTCCATAGGCTACCTCATGACAATAGGTGAGGGATAGATCATATATAAACAAGTAAATCAGCAGCTTTTCACCATGAAAGACCAGAGCAATGCCCTCATGACTGCAGATGAGACTCCAATCGGTTGATCCATCTTTCGGTCCATTCTACCTGTCACTAATGAACAAGACTCCCAGGTACTTGAACTGAAGTGGAGACTCATCCTCAACTGGGAGGGAACATTTCACATTTTTACAGTTGAGAACCATGTTCTCTAACTAAGCTGATTCTCTTCCCAGCTATTTTGCACATGGCCCCATTGCATGGTAAAGGTCATAGTCTTAAGATGCCAACATGGCCACATCATCTTCAAAAACAGAGACAAAACCTTGAGGTTACCAAACCAGACCCACATCTGTGTCTGCACCTGAGATCAGAATAACCTGAGCTCTTGTCCATGAAACCACAAATGGGATCAAAGACAATGGGTGTCCCTGGTGGCGTCCAACCTGTACTGGGAATGAACTTGACTTTTGGCCCCAAATGCTAACTGAGCTCTTGTTTTAGTTATGCAGGGAAATACAGTTATTCAGGTCATTCGAGAGGACCTTTTCTTTGATTTCTGTCTGGATATTTTATTTGCTCTGTGCTTTTCTTTAGTTGAGCCACTTCTTTTAAACAGTTTAAACTCCTGCATGTCTCCTTGATTGATAACTCTGATTTGTATATCTGTGAGAGTTTGAATTGTCCCTTACTGTATTTCCAATGCAGCATTGAACTGGCAGCTTGAACAGGGCGTTGTCTACCTCTTGTCTGATGTCACTGGGTATGGCTAACAAATGAGCAGATGGATAACCAGTGCTGACATACTTGTAGGAAATAAAAAAATAAAAAAAAAACTTTGTTTTGATTCATCCCCATAAATGGATGGTTAAAATCAGCCTAGCAAGACTTAAAAGAAAGGATGGGCTTCGTTTGTTTCAGCTGAAAGTGGATAGGGCCTAAAATTAATCCCTGCGGAACTCCTTTGCTCTTGTTTCATTTTTGTTGGACCCTGTTTTGTCAGCTTTACACCCACCCACACTTTCAAACTGTGTCCCTCCTTAGAACATACAAAGAATGAGACAAAAGGGAAACTTGCAGTAATCCTGATGCTCACAGTTAATATACTGTAGTTGCACCTCACAGATGACTGAGCTGCTCTTGTGCGTTAGAGGTTACACTCCAAACACTCATTTTAGCGGTGAGCCACTTCACTGACAGTCCGACTCATTTAGGCCCCCATCGGCCTCAGGATTTCACTTTTTCCTGCTGATCCTGATCTTTGTCTATAATCTGCTCCTTTTTTCTCTCGTTTCTAGCTCCTCACGTTTGTGTCATTTACTATTCAAGTTGAGGAGATTTGTGTCCTGGTCTGTGAACAGTCGTATCAGTGCTGCTACCTTGTGCAAAGTTTCTTCAGTGTGGACAAGTTCTGGAACATCAAAGAGCCCGACTTGTTCCGGAGCTGAAAGCTTTAGGACGGAACCAGAGATTTATTGGACACTCACTGTCTCACCTTTGACCTCCAGCTCTGAGTGTGTCATCACACTGAGTTTTATGTTCATCACATAATTGTTCTTAAAATGAAATGTCTTTGTTTGAATCAGGGAAAAAAAAAAGGCAACTTAGCGTGCTGCGCTTACTTTTGCCCTACATTACTCTCAGACAGCGAGCAGCGCATGTATCAGACAGGGAGATGGATCACGGTGTGAGTTTTTTTTGGTCTTCTTCCCATAACCCCTGCACGTCTGACCCCTTCACCTTTGCTCCCACCCAGATGCCAACCAGTATGGAAAGTATGGGAAAACACGAGCGGAGGAGGATGCAAAACGTTACCTCAAGGAAAAAGAGGAGCTGGAAAAGAAGAGGGATGGGATCCGAAATACACTGGTGACTCTGCGGCAGGAGAAGAGGGAGCTGAAGGAGGAGCTGAGGATGGCCTCGGGTAAGGGGGGTAAAAACAGAGCTGATGATGTGCAAATCATTTTTTGTAATTGTTTAAAAACAGTACATACATCAACGTAATTTGGATTAGAATCCTAGTGAAGACTTTTCCAAAAATCTCTGTTTGGTTAGAACAAGAAAATATCCCTAAAACAGAGAAAAAGCGTTCTCATATGAACAACATACATCGTTTAAAACTATAGCATTTCTTTTTTTTTTTAATGATCCTGCTTTCTGACCTTTATCATTTAAAAGCCATGTGAAAGGAAATTCCCTCCTCAAGAATGATTATTAAAGCCAACAGCGCAGTTATCATAACAATTCGTACTAATAATTTCCTGAAGCTGCACATGTCACTATCAGAGGTTATGATTTAGAAATTATTACTGACGGTGAAATCTTCCAGGACGTTCATTAGTTTTAAATTTCACCTGGTTTCAAAGGCAAAGGCAGGAGATAATGTTTTCCCATGTTTATGGTGTGGCAGTGTGCTTTGTGGCAAAATATCTCATAAACCACTGGACAATTTTCATTGGAACTTGCAGAGATTATTTATTAGATTTACATCTACAGCTGATTAACCTTTGGTGTCGACTCAAATCAGGAAAGCTGCCACAGCCAACTAATATTAAACAATACAAAAATGATGTTTTATCGACATTTGCCTAATACTTGGTGCATAGCTGAGACTCATCCTTAACACATATTCTGAGCACTAACTAAATGTGCAAGTTGTTTGATTAAAATTTTGTCTATAACTATTTAGAGTGAACTTGGTCTGTTAGCAAAATATCTGATGAACCACTGGGTGGATATTAGGTCAACCTTCAGGTAATAGTCTTTGAAAGTACCTCTGCAGGTGATAAACATTTGTAGCCAACACAAGTGAAGCTATCCCTTACAGCCAACTGAACCTTAAAAACACAAAAATCTCTATAACTCAGTCAAATTTTAAAGATTTTACGCTAAACGTTGTTGTGGTTGTAGCTGGGACCGCTTCACAACACACACTCTCACTGAGTGAGATATGCGATTACAACTTTAGCATTAACATTTGGAGTCAAACCCTGCTTGTCTGTTAGTAAAACATCACATTAATCATTTGACGGATTATAATGAAACTTTCAGAAATTAATCAATGGATGTACATCTCCAACTGATTAACTGTAATAGTCAAAGTCAAGATGGCCACCAGTGCTAATCAACATTGGCCAACACAAAAACGGCTACAACTCAATCGATGTTACAGATATTGAGGTATAATTCGATGTGGTAGCAGCTGAGAGTCCCTTACAGCACATGTTTAGAGCATAACATCTGGAGATGTCAGAAGACTGCACATGCATCGCAACAATAAACACTTTAATGTTTCTGTCCACTCCTTATCTGACTTTGATTGTTGGTGTTTTTATGCCTCTCTGTTATTTTTAGATCATGTGATTCCTTGTGCATGTTCATTTGTATTGAAACCCTGGAACAACTATTTCCTGTGGGCTCAGTAAAGTTCTTATCATTAAAATTTGACCATAATGTCTACAATTCAACATATTATATTTTTATAAAATCAATATCTGTAGTGACTTTTAGTGTGAAATGTAAATTGTGTTTCTATCTGCACATTTATGCAATATAGCACGAATACACATGTAAGTCACAAGAATAGCTACTTGTGAACAGTTGCACTGAGGGCGAGTTAGGTGTTTATACAAATGTACTTTTATTCTGAAAGAGAGAGTACATTTTAATATCTGGCAACCTTTAAATCAGGACATGACGGCACAAGCGTGCAGCTGTTTGTGTTTCTCATTGTGCTGATTGTGTCTTTGTGAAGCAGATCGGAGGAAAGCCTTCCTAAACAAGCGCGTGTTCGAGCTGGAGGAAGCCTGTCGAGCTAAAGAGGCCGAGAGGGTGGACCTGGAGCTCCGGCTCACTGAGGTCAAAGAAAACCTGAAGAAGAGCCAGGCGGGCTCAGCGCTGGGCGCTTCAAAGGAGGCCGCACCACCTGATAAGGTACGTTTGTTAACGTTCGGTGGGAAGGCATTGCATTGTTAGCTTGCACTTTTTAAAATGTTTACTGTATTTATACTTTCACCTCTTCGTAGACATCTAGCAAGAAGATCCAGAACATCTACAGCGAGTCATTACCGGTGAACTGTGCTGCAGAGCTGCGGAGGAGACCTCCGTCCGTTTACGCCTCCTCTACTGGAACTGTCATGCAGAAAGCCAAGGTGACGTGATCAGATCTACACCGCCCACCCCCACTCACCTGCTGCTGTCATTCTGAACATAATTCTTGCCTGTTTTTCTTTTGTTTTGTGGAGTGTTAACTGAATCACAAGAGTTTGTTACCATGTAGCGAGTTTTCTTACTTCACATGGCAGACCTTAGAACAGGGGTGTCCAATACGTTGAGCGCAATCCACCGGTCGATTGCAAAGGCATTATGGGTGGATCGCATGGCATTAAAAAAATATAGACGTCAGCCTGTATCCATCCTCACTATGAAATGTGTTACTTGATTGACATAGAGGGCAACCAGCCCTCATTCTCTCAAACCAGGTGTCAGAGTGGAGATTTTCAGGCGAACTCCCCCGTCCCACTCCTACCAGTCTGAGGCCTCTTCAGGTTTAAACATTTACCACAGTTTTCACATAGAAGTACCAGAACGTTATGTATGCTTTCCGAGCATGGAATGTTGTTCTGCACATCGGAAAAGAACACAAACATATTGGAGCACTTTAGCGTGCATGCTGATACGTACGTACACGCGTCAACTGGGAGAAGCCTGAGCCATGGCCACACCTGGAAGTCCTGCAGTCGGATACTTCTCCGGTGCTGCACGTGACATGTGACAGCTGGTTGCGGTGTGCTCGTGCTAGTTACCACAGAATTCTATGTAAATAATTACATAATGTGAACATTACATGAAGATCAGGTGATGCGATGTCTTAAATAAAAAATTAAAATTAAATCACATGAACTGCTATATATATTTTGAGAATGAAGTACCCCCCCCCCCCCCCCCACCCCCCCCCCACCCATTGTTACAACAGTAAACGGTAAAGTCATAATTGTTCATACATTTTCCACAGAACCTGTTTCAAAAATAAAAATAAAATGCATATTTCAGTGGCTTACATTAAAACTCAAAGTGATCTGCTCTTGTTGATCTTGTGTTTCTACAGGAATGGGAGTCAAAGAAAGGAACCTAGGAGGTGTTTAACAGAAAAGATGGAAGTGGATGGAAATCAGGGCGTGACTTTTCCACAATTTCTGTCGTCCAGGATAATCTTTTATATATATCTCCTGAAGCCCAGACTTTCTTTTTTGGTTACCGAGGACAAACTGTAATAAAGAAATCAGCCACTAGATGGCAGTGCAGTCTCACTAAATATTTATCCTCCAGTGAAAAGGACCAATTAAACTCCTGAGACTGATGCGTTTTGTTGTATTGAGTGGCAGTTAAAAAAAAAAAAAAAAAAAGAAGAAAAATCAAGTAAACAAAAAGACAAAAGAAAAGTGTAAGTGAAAGAAGAGCAAGAGCCGAAACAAGACTCTTGGAAAGTGCAGATTTTTGTGTTTGGAACCAGAAAAGAAAAGTTTAATTAAGATTCAGGAAAATAGAACCTGCGTAATGTGATTCGCTGGTGGGGATTTACTGATGTGTCTTTTATGCAATGTAATGTTTTTTACTTTCTTTCTGTACATACTGAGCTTTGACTACTACATTCTGTTTATACTTTTAAATTGTTTTATTTGCTATTATCTTTATAAAACACAAAAGTTTTAGACCTTAAAAGTTACATAATTATCTCCCTCCATCGTTTATTTGGTTTAATCTTCAGACACCCAAAAATTCAAACAGAAACTTTATAAAAGGTACATGGTTGACATTTGGGAGCACTTATTCCAGAATCATGTTTTACTTTTTTATATATATATTGGCTACTTTTAATGACTTTATTGTGTTTGGGATCGATTAGATGCTCCCTGGCAGTTAATGATCTTAACTCTACAAATATCTATAACATTTGCACGTTACTCTTTCAGACATGGGGTATTTAAATGATTTGGAGGACACTGTCTAACCTTTTAATTACTGAACTGATTAGCTTCTCCGCTCAGGTCGAAGCTGTACTACTAATTGAAAATGTGCTGAATTCTTTGGTTCAAACAGAATCCAATATTTATTTGACTCCCTCTGACAGAAAGTCGAACAGAACTGAATCGTCCTGTTGCAGATAATTGAATTACTAACAAAGTGGCACTCTTCAATACTAATCAGTATTGTCCAATTAGGAAAATCTTTGTCATTTTAAAACCTTCTTTGTCGAACCTTTGGTTGACTTTTGCACTTTACCTGGATGAGGAACCAATAAATTTGCATCTTATTGTCCAAAAAAAGTCAATTTTGAGTCATTAGAAGCTGCGTGAACGCTGGCATTTTCCACAAAAACACACTGTACACTCTGAGGCTATAATAATTTAATTGCACATAGTATCCAGTGAAGTAAATATACAGTACATTATCTCATACAAACAGTATATTACAGCCACAGCAAGAAAGAAGCACATCTATATGAGTCACTTAATAAAGGCATTTTAATGCAGCGCAGCAGATCACATTGTGGTTCAGGCCATCAAGAACGTGTTTGCGTATCTTCGTTGGGTTTAAAGACTTTGTTTGTTGGTAAGAAAGGATTTATAACCAATGTCACATGCTGATATGATCACTGACAAAAACAAATTTAAGCACCCAGACGGAGTAATGGGAATTAAATGAAACTGCATATATGTTGAAAGATCAATGTTTATAATATTAGATCTAATGGATAATAGATTTGGCACATCACCAGGTAGAGTGTAGCAACCCTTCAGACCTGGAGACAAATGGTGATTTAGTGGAACAGAAATATACAGATGCCCCTGCAACAGTTGACCTAAAGTTGTAACTCAACACTGGAGATCCACCAGATTGGCACTTATCAATTGATTTTGCACATTAGATTGGAGGTAAACTGGTGACCTAGTTGTTCTCAAGAGGACCTCATCATGATGCACTTAGTCCAAAGACGTGTGGACAGGTGGTGTTTTGTAGAAAAATTGTACCAGTTGTACCAAACTGTACCAGATACCACTGTATCTGTCTAAGAGGAGTAAGATATGTCCTTGTGTAGGAAGTCTGACAACACTGCCTGTAAGGTTCTTTGAATCACCACCAGAGGTGATGTGAAGTCACACGCCTTGGGTTTTATCTACAATGTGGGCAAGACTGGTTGTCTTCTCTCAGGACCACCATATATGCAGATGTTCACCTGTATCTCTGAACAGGGCATGCTGTATTTTACCATCAGTCTCTTTCTCCCAGTTATGGCACTGCTTCAGATGCTCTGGTTTTAAAGGTAGCCCACACATGGAACAGTGGGCCCTTAGTTCAGCCAGTCAACAAGATTTTGTGACAAAATAATTGTGTAAAGAGTCCAACATGCACAGATGCAATACTTGATACAGTATACAAGAATCTTCCCTTTGTGCGGTCCATCTGTGACAAGAACCTTCATGATGCAGGATGCCCAATGCACCCATTGGTTTCAACATAGGTCCACTGGGACATTAGTACACCCCATGTGCGAGCAGTTACACAATACAACCACCTGGCTCCATGCAAACTCTGCATCACTCCTTTGAGTCTGTTGACCTTCACTCCCTGTTTTGATTGACTGATGTCCAGACACTGCCTGATATTGCTCCATTTGGCACTTACAGTGCATCTGCAAAGTATTCACAGTGCTTCAATGTTTCCACATGTTATGTTACAGCCTTGTTCCAAATTGTATTAAATTTATATCGTTCCTCAAAATTCCACATACATTAGCCCATTATGACAATCCATCCATTTTCTTTACCCGTTTATTCCATTTTTGGGTCACGGGGGTCGCCGGTGCCCATGTCCAGCAATCACTGTGCGAGGGGCGGGGTACACCCTGGACGGGTCGCAAGTCCATCACAGGGACACATAGAGACAAACGAGACAAACAACCATTCACTCTCTCACTCACACCTAGGGACAATTTAGAGTTACCAATTAGCCTAACATGCATGTTTTTGGTCTGTGGGAGGAAACCGGAGTACCCGGAGAAAACCCACGCATGCACGGAGAGAACATGCAAAGGCCCCCGGACCGGGATTTGAACCAGGGACCTGCTCACTGAGAGGCAGCAGCTCTACCAGTTGCGCCACCGTGCTGCCCCCCATTATGACAATGTGAATGGTAAATGGACTGTACTTATACAGCGCCTTTCTATCTTATTGAGACACTCAAAGCGCTTTACAACACAATCTGTGTCCTCATTTACCCATTCGTACAGCACTCTACTAGATCTCTACAAAGCTAATTGAACAAATCATTCTAAAGAGACTAATCAGTGGAAAAAGCTGAGATATTTGCACATTTATTAAAAACCAGAAAACTAAGAGATCACATTTACATAAATATGCACAACCTTTGCCGTGAAGCTCAGATTGTGTTTCCACTGATCCTCCTTGAGATGTTTCTACAACTTAAATGGAGTCCAGCTGAGGTAAATTCAGTTGACTGAACTTGGTTTGGAAACACACACACACACCTGTCGTCTAGATAAGGTCCCACAGCTGACAGTGCATGTCAGAGCACAAACACCAGAACATGTTCTGGTGCTTTGAAGGTCCAGTGAGCCCAGTGGCCTCCATCATTCATAGATGGAAGAAGTTTGGAACCACCAGGACTCCTCTTAGAGTTCGCTGGTCATCTAAACTGAGCAATCGGGAGAAGGGCCTTAATCAGGGAGGTGACCAAGAAACTGATGGTCGCTCTGTCAGAGCTCCAGTGTTCCTCTATGGAGAGAGGAGAACCTTCCAGAAGGACAACCATCTCTGCAACAATCTCTTTATGGTAGAGTGGCCAGACGAAAGCCACTCGAAGGCAGACAAAGATTGAATGCCAGGCGTCGTGTTTGGAAGAAACCAGGCCCCACTCGTCACCAGGCCAAGACCATCCCTACAGTGAAGCATGGTGGTGGCAGCATCATGCTATGGGGATGTCTTTCAGCAGCAGGAACTGGCAGACTAGTCAGGATAGAGGAAAAGCATAAATCTACAGAAACATCCTGGATGAAAACCTGCTCCAGAGAGCGCTTGACCTCAGACTGGGACGACGGTTCATTTTTCAGCAGGACAACCCAAAGCACATGGCCCAGACCTCAAAGGAGTGGCTTCAGGGCCCCTGAATGTCCTGGAGTGGCCAAGCCACAGCCCAGACTTGAATATGATTGAACATCTCTGGAGATTTCTGAAAATGGCTGAACAGACGTCTCCCATCCAAACCTGATGGAGGTTGAGAAGTACTGCAAAGAAGAATGGGACAAACTGTCTAAAGAGAGGTGTGATCATATTCAAAAAGACTTGAGGCTGTGACTGCTGCCAAAGGTCAGCAACGACTGAATACTTATGTAAAGGTGATCCTTTTTGGTTTTCAATTTTAATACATTTAACCTTTTCACATCATCGTCATAGTGGGGTAATTGTATGTCGAATTTTGAGGAACTAGATTAATTTAATTTAATTAGGAATAAGGCTGTAACATAACAAAATGTGGAAAACAGTGAAGCACTGTGAATCTGATGCTTGTTCTAAACGTGCTCCTTGCATATTAAATCATCCGCATACCAATAATATGTCTACATGTGGACCAAACTACATCCAAATTTAGATTTTTTTTTTCTGGGTTTGAACTTTTGTCAGTGAGTGTATGTGGAGAGCCATCCATTCATACCAAGTCGATAACACCTTTCAAGGGAGAAAACAGTCCTGATCGTTTCTCATCAATTTGTAGCCCTAAAATGATTAGAATCTGTGTTTTACGTTAAGGTCGGCTCCGATGCAATGAGATCCCGCCAGTAGCGACTGGCGCTGCAGCGAAAATGAGGAGGTAGAGCAGCTTCGGGGTGGTGGCATGAACTATCTCTGCAGGCTTCATTCAGCACTCAGAGGAAGAGATAATAAAGCCAGTACAGAATATTGACGAAGAGAAAAGCTGTGGGGAAAACAGTGCGGGCATGGCGATCGATGTTGTGTGGATTTTCCACAATGAAGACAGATGCTGCTCTGCGGGACGCATCTTTCACGGACGATAAACCGCAGCCCTGACTCTGCACTTTCTCTTTCGCTGTGGCGTGCTTCTTAATGTCACTGTTCACGGGCTCCTCTGCAGGCTCCTCTGCAGTGGAACCGACTTCCACCGACTGGTTTGGTTGGCTGGCAATGTTAATTGGGATCGAGCCGTTTCCGTTAGACTCGCATAACTCCCTCAGTAGCTCCTGATAACCCCCCATCCCCCACAAAATGGACAAATTATTACAGATTTGTTTTATTATTTAACATGAATCATCTTATAAAATGCATTGCTTTTACTTACCCTGTGTAAATCTTCGATGGTTTGGTTCTGCATGGTGTAAAAATGAGCGCAGGCGTATTCCAGCAGGGCACCAAAGATGAAGGTGAAACAGATGCCCAAGTAAACATCTATGGCCTTTATGAAGCAGTTTGCATTGGGCAGAGAGGTACGAGCGCCCATCATCAGCGTGGTCATCGTCAAGACTGTGGTCACCCCTGAGGAACGAATCAGAGGGTTGTTTGTGGAGAATAACAGTTTACTCAACTAGCTTCAACTTGTAGGAGACAGAAGAAACGTGTTTAATCAGGCTCTACTTAGAGTAGGGTTAGAATAATTAATAATACTTCAAATTCTAACAAAAAAAAACCCTGACAAAATAAGGCAAACAACCCAAAACTTGAAAACAAGGCGTAGCAGGAATCAGGGATAAAACAAAGCACCTGATCATAGATCAGTGTTTGCCCATGAGGACATCTGAAGCTGTCCATGGAAGAGTTTGAGTTTTACAGAGGACTGGCCATAAAAAAGTTCATTTTCAACCAGCAAAGCAAGAAAATATACACATGGCGTTTAGCAACAGGAGGAGGAGACTCAGCAAACAGGTGGAAATGAATAAACAATGAGAAGGACTAAAAAACATGACGAATCGTAAGAAAGAAAAAAAACCTTTAGAACAACTTTTGTCAAAACTTCAGAGAATTGAAATGTTCTGGAAATTACAATCAAAACAAGGGGATTCTGAGGAATTTCAACATTTGGAGAAGTCCACCGGCATCCGATTGATTATTTGCGGTCTGGATAAAAAGTCGATGTTTACTGGAGCTTGGACTGGGAGGTCACGATGTGTGAGCAAGTATTATTGTGTCTACAGGTCTCAAACTCATAAAGATATGTTGGTACCACTTTACAGTAAGGCTGCCCTTACAGACGGCTAATAAATAGTTTATAGACACGTTAATAATTCTTCTATAAACACTTTATAAACATTAATAACTGTTTATTATGCATTAAGTAAGGGTGACAGAGACAAAACTGAGCAGTTTCTTCCCAAATAGTGATCCAAACCTGTTTGCCCATTTCATCTAGAGTTGTTATATTCAACATTTCAGACTAAGTCACTACCTTGTAAGCACAATAAATATTTGTAAACCTATTTCTTTAGCATATAATATTGTACTTTATCAATGCATTATAAGTATCAACTAATATTACATCCTAAAGAAATAGGTTTACAAATGCTTATTGTGCTTACAAGGTTTGGATCACTATTTGGCAAGAAACTGGTCAGTTTTGATTCTGTCACCCTAAATTAATGCATAAAACGGTTATTAATAATTTATAAAGTGTTTATAGAGGAATTCATAACGCATCTACAAACTATTTATTAGCCATCTATAAGAGGAGCCTTATTGTAAAGTGGTACAGATATTTTGCAAAAGGATTTTAAAGGTAACTTCAACAAAAATATGGCTCCACAGACGTGGCTGTAAGCTCAACACTAAAAAAAATAACAAAACCATATTTTTTTATATATACAGTATATTTTTAGGTGTAGGCCTGTGTGTTTTATGATTTGTTGCATATTTGCTAATAAAATGCACTTGCAAAGTGATTAAAGGTTTACGGTGAAATAATTTTTAGATATCAGACATCAGTTTGGAGAAAACAAGTGGAAACCTGGGCCGACAAGCAGAGAAAAGCACATAAATAATAGGATTTCTATTACCTTAAAACAGCTACAGTCCCAAACATTACCTAGCAGTTCTTGCTAATGCTAACTTAAAACGGTTACCATTTTCATCATGTTGCAGGTTATCCTTGCAAAAATAACATGTTCCTTGTGGACTTGCCATAGACTGCGTCAGAGGTGCTACAACCAGCAGCTGCTGCTAACTGCATTTGCAGATAACCACAGTATTCTGTGTAAATAATGACTTGCTGCAAAACTGACAACAGTGTAGGATTATAAAGAAGCATTTATAATAAAGCACCAGGCATGTGTTGTTTATAACTCTTAGCTAAATACACACCTAATTTTTGATTAATATCTGTACAAATGACCGAAATAAATCCATTTTTGTGTTTTCTATGGTCATTTATGGCAAATGTCTTGAATTGAATTAGCTAGGTAGATTAACTGCTACGGCTTTTTGAGATTGGAGTTGTTATCAGATGGATGCAATCCACTTTAATCCAGACTCTATCTGGCTCATCAGTCCTGTCAGAACTAACTGTGTTAATCCAAATTGAGTTGGTTTGAAGTGCTACAACATATAATATAATATCTCATCATTAAAAAAAAAAACACCCACCCATCCATTAATCCATCCATCCATCCATTATCTTTACCCGTTTATTCCATTTTTTGGGTCACGGGGGTCGCCGGTGCCCATGTCCAGCAATCACTGTGCGAGGGGCGGGGGACACCCTGGACAGGTCTCCAGTCTATCACAGGGACACATAGAGACAAACGAGACAAACAACCATTCACTCTCTCACTCACACCTAGGGACAATTTAGTTACCAATCAGCCTAACATGCATGTTTTTGGTCTATGGGAGGAAACCGGAGTACCTGGAGAAAACCCATGCATCCACGGAGAGAACATGCAAACTCCATCCAGAAAGACCCCTGGCTGGGATTTGCACCGGCGACCTTCTCGCTGAGAAGTTACAGCTCTACCAACTGAGCCACTATGCCACCCTCGTAGAAACCCATTCCCAATCATCTGAACTAGTTTTTCTATGGCATGTCTGTCTTTTAACTCGGTTTTGACTAGCGCCAGAATCATTACCAATGCAGGTTCGAGCAGGAACAGAGGACTGGCTGATCCAAAAAGAGACCCAGGAGAGAACCACCAGCAGAATGGAAGGAACATAAGTCTCCAAGATAAAGAACAAGACGTTCCTGCGCAGGGAAAAATGCAGCACCAGCTTGGGGTAATGTCCTGTGAAGAGACATAAAAATGACACTGCTTTCTAAACAGATAAATAAGACGTAGCACAGCTGTAGAAGGGCTCGCTCCACGTGGTACCTGTTTCATACACAGCCTCTGACACTGATGTGTTGTAGCTCTCCACACTGTACTGAGCCAGCCGCAGCGTGTCCAAGCCCCTCACTGAGTCATTGCCCCTGGTCCAGTAGAACACCACATCTTGGATGTTGTAGCCCCCTGACAAACATATATTTATTAGAATTCATAACCTTCAAGCAGCTCACCAACACATGACCTGTCTACAATGATAGTCACGACTCTGACGATGCAAATGACGAGCCGGAGATAATTCATGCCCATTTACACATTAGTGGAGCTGACAGGAAGTACTCACAGCTCTCCAGCTGCAGGGTGCACACCTGTTTGTCCATGGGGTATTTGGTCAGGTCCATGTTGCACGCAATTGTAGCTGTGATGCTGTTGGGTGTTTTAAATAAGAGAATCAAAGATTGCTCAAAAAACAGTTTTTGATGTACCGTAGTACAATGCGACTGATTGTACGTAAAAATAAAACTCTTTCTTTTCCAGGAAAAACAACCATCGGCACATTTTTTGCCATTAGATTTAAAGATCACGTAGGAACGCTGTAAACAGAAAAAGCGAGGGCAGCTCCCTGACTCATTCATCATTGAGTTGCCACCTTTAATGTCATGAATCAACATGTCTTTTCTTTTATTCAAGCAGAATGAAAATCAGCCTGACCACGCTGCTAAAAACTGCCCTTTCTGTCCTCAATTTAGCGTTTGAGTCAAAACAAAGTTGTGGGGCAGGGTGACAAGATAAACTGGATGTCAAGACACATTTTCACTGAAGCTGCAATGTGACAAATCAAAAGGGTTTGAGGGGAACAAGACATGTGGAAATCTAGTACTGCTCCCTGAAGTTATATGACTGAGTGATGATGCATTGGTTGTTTTTTCCCCTTCTGTTTTTTTATTAAAACACCCTGAGGCCTGTTCATGGTTGACTGCAACAGAAGCTTGAAAAATAAATAAATAAGAATGTACCGAAGGGCGTAGAGAACCGTCCCATTGCTGAAGATGCGGATGAGGCGGTTTTCCACCGTGACGTCGTGAAGGAAGGAGCGCTTGGAGTCTGGGATGAAGGTGTCGGGGATCCACAGCAGGGACACCAGGCGTCCGTCCACGCTCACACTCTCATTTCCAGGAAACACCAACCTGGAATCACGCCAGCGCTGGCGGAGGAAGATAGTGGCGGTGTAGTCCTGAAAGGATCACAATAGTTCAGTTTTTGGTTATTGCTCTTTTCATTATTCACTGTCTAAATACAAATAAATAAATGGGAATGAGTTACCATATTAATTTCAGAGATGGCGTCAATGCTGGCAATATCAAGACTCATTCCGATTTCCACAGGACCCTCTGTGATATCAGAAATACCTAAATTGATTCACTTTGACAAGAAGAATGAAACTAAGGCCTGTATCTCACTTAGCTGCAAATGTTGGGAAGGTTGGGGACTAAATACTGTGGTACAATTGTAAGAAAATACATCTGTTGCACTGAATTTCAACTTATAACATGTCTGCAGACGCATGAACAAAGTACAAAGTTTCACACACTCTCAGCATTGTTTGGGTCAAAATTTGCCATGAACTCATAATTTTATTGTGCAAGCGTCTCAATAAAGCCGTGCAAAAGTCCCACAACAAAAATGTTTTGTTTTATGTCATGGGATGGTAGAGCAATAGTTCTGAGCCACATGATTATGAAGCCCTATCAGATACACAGTAGTCCGTGGTTTATCGCGGGGGATCCATACCCTGAAGACCCGCGACAAGTGAAACATCGCGAAGTAGGAATAATAGTACAAGTAATAAGTAGTAATATATATATAAAGGCATTATAAACCCTTCCCACACTCTTGCAATATTCTAAATGTTTCTAAACTCTAAACACTCTTAAAGAGCACAGAATGTCATGATTTCAGCTCCCTGCCTCCTCTGCTCTTTGCCACCTGCAAGCACTCTTGACCACGCCCACTTCTCCGCTGCACGGTGAACAGCTGATCACTGCAGCAGGAAGTTTATCCTGCGGTATGGGCTGCACAAGTGTGCAGCAGGTGCTAAATAGCTAATTTTAAATAAAAAGTCCATGTCGATCGTGCAGCTCATCCATCAATCAGCCAACTGTGTGTCATGTCCAATCTTATTTTGAAAAACCGCGATAGAGCGAGTCCGCGATAAACGAACCGTGAAGTAGCGAGGGACTACTGTATTTTATTTGGCCATGTTCCATGTATGATTTGACAAGAGATTTTTATTTTTGTCTCCAGCTGGTCACAACATAGTTACCACCCTGTCATGCAGTTTTTGTACATTGCTCGCAATTTTAAACTTGTGGAAACTAATTTGAGAAGCTATTGAGAAAGGTTCCAGACAGCTTGTAGGCACCTACAACAACTCGATGAGTATTCTCATGAACTACTGAGATACAGACGCCAGTTGCTGTGCAACTTGAATGTGAAGACCAAGAGACTGGAAACAATTTTAGACATTTAAGAAACTCCCTTGTGAATGCCATTAGAAATTTGGTGCAGAATGGTGAGATACTGGTTTAAAGCATGTGCCGTATCTTACTGCTACTGTTGGCAAGCAGTTGGAGACATAAAATGACTTTGAAAGTAAATTTGATTTCACAAATTTTTAAAATACGTCATGTGACTCAAATGGAAAAAGGTCCTTCCAGATTGAGAGGAGTCTCTGCCGCAAGCTGAAAAGTTCAGATATCTGAGAGTTTTATTTATGATTGGTGGAAAGATGGAACGGGTGATGAAGCAGATGATGGACAGATGAATCAGAGTCTCATCAGCAGTAATGGGGGCATTGCTCCTTACTGCTACATGAAGAAACAGCTGAACCTAACCGTGAAGCTTTTGTTATACTGGTTTAAATTCTGACCCTCACATAAATCATGAGATTTTGATCATGACTGATGAACAAGATCTCAGATACCATCCATCCATCCATTATCTTTACCCGCTTATTCCATTTTGGGTCACGGGGGTCGCTGGTGCCCATGTCCAGCAATCACTGTGCGAGGGACGGGGTACACCCTGGACGGGTCGCAAGTCCATCACAGGGCCACATAGAGACAAACGAGACAAACAACCATTCACTCTCTCACTCACACCTAGGGACAATTTAAAGTTACCAATCAGCCTAACATGCATGTTTTTGGTCTGTGGGAGGAAACCGGAGCACCCGGAGAAACCCACGTATGCACGGAGAGAACATGCAAACTCCACCCAGAAAGGCCCCTGGACCGCGGTTTGAACCAAGGACCTGCTCGCTGAGAGGCAACAGCTCTACCAGTTGCGCCACCGTGCTGCCCGATCTCAGATACAAAGGGCTGAAATGAGTTTCCTCCATAGTGGGGCCAGGCTCAACCTTGGATATAAGGTGAGGAGCTCCATCATCCCGAGGAACCTCAACATAGAACCACTGCTTATTTGCATTGAAGGAAGATGAAGTGGTTTGGAAGTTTTCCATGCATGGCCCACTAAAGACCCAAAGAGAGACCCAGAACTTGCTGGAGGGATTACATATCCTCCCTAGACTGGAAAGACCTTGAAAATACCCCAGGAGGAGCTGAAGAAGAGGATGTCTGTGTGTCTCTCTTAAACCTGTTGCCTCTGCAGCCTGACCAGAGTTAAAGACAGAAAAAGGTTAAGTCTGCGACTAATGCAAGGTAAATGCTAACATTTTGACATTTTGGAGAATTCCTTGCGAATGCCAACAGTTGCAGCCCTGTGAGATAAAGGCTCAAGTGCAAAAAAGACCTCTCAAGCTACTGAGTACCATTGAAATTAGGCCTGAGGTAGCGGTTGTATCCTTTCATGAGCCTCTGAATTGTGGGCAGAAGTTGGGAGTTGTTCCATTCACCCCAGTGGTTGCTAGGGAATATGCAGCCACTGATAACAGTAGAGACATTTCAAAATAAATGAGAGAGCAAAAGAGAAAAGAATCGTAAATCTTGGTACAAAATATAATGCCATGTTTAAAATAATCAACATCATGTGGTTGCGTGTGCTTGAGGGTATTTTCCACCTCGAGTGCCTCACCTTTGTGTGACGATCAGGCAGAAGATGAGAAGCTCCTGCAGCTGGATGGTCATTGTGTGAATCTGCAGTCAGAGGTCAGCAGCTTTAATTGGTTAAAAGCAAAAGAAGGCCATGTCAAAAGCAGTCCGTTGTCTTTCACATGCACAGTTCAAAGGATAGCACAGCTTCTCCAAAGGGTGGCAGCAGTTCACCGACAGTGATCACCAGGCCTTAGGGGAAATCTGCAGCGCCAGAGTAGTTCTTGCCCTCTTAGCTGATACTCAGGGGTTTCCTCTCTGCTCCTGATACTTTCTCTAGAATATCATATTGATCTCTTGCTCCCGGCTGCCATTAATACATAACAAGGTGCTCCATTTTGCTGTCACACAGTCATTTATACACAAACACAGTTACAGATAATGCATAGATAAGCGTTGGGAGTCCAGCTGCACATTTCCATTGTTTTTGTGTGCTTTTCTTGCATGACAGAGTGTTATGGGGGTCTGCTGATTTATGTGGCCACCACCCTCATGGTTTATTCATCAGGCCTCCCTGAAAAAAACAAAAAAAACAATCATGCCACCAACTCACCAAGGAGTCTTTGCTCATGGCCGCCATCTCTCCTGCAGATTAATCTTTTCCCCCGTTAATAGAATTCAGCACTCTTGTGTCTTACTGTTCAAAGATTATGTAAATCACGCGAGTATTTCAAAGCAAACATTATGTTGACAGGTTGCACCCAGAGAGGCAGCTAAATGACTGCCCACAATTGATTTCTGCTCCTAATGGGTAAATTTGCAGGTTACAGAGAAATGGCATTTTCATAGGATCTATTTGCTTTTTGCATGTCAGTTGGAGTTAGTTTGGTTTTGTTTCAGTTTCTTTAGGTATTTGAAGCGCTGAAGCTTTAAAAAAATATATATATATTTTATCCCTGAAGACATTCGTTGAACTACAGAGGTGCATACTTATCAGCACCTATCTGTTTTCCTTGTCCTTGTGGCTGCTGACAGATTCAACTGCTTGCTCAGCTAAATCAACACCAATCTTTGCATTTCATCTTCTTACCCTAAAATGTGCTCATGCAGTCATCATTTCTTATCCCAAAGTTTGTCATACCTGTGTTGATGTTGTCGCCCTTGTCCTGTTAGCTTTCTTTTTTTCTCCCACTCTTTGTCTTTTGCAGCCCTGTCCTCTTTTGGTTCTCCACACTTCTGTTTTTCTTTAAAGCCCACGTGTTAAATTTGGCTCAGGTCGGTCCCCCTCTCTTTATTCCTGACTGTATCCAAGAGTTTCTCCAGTACACCACAGCTGCGTCCAAAATGCAATCCTGGTGTGTGTTTTGTGTGTGTGTGATCTGCGGCTGGTTGTTTGACTGTTTCTGCAACTCCCACTGTCTCTCTGCACAGATGCATCCATCGCCCCTCGGAGCCTATGTGCAGCCCCCCCCCCCCCCCCCCCCCCCCCCCGCCCCCACGCCCCTCCCAACCCACTCCCCCCCCATCTCCTCTATTCCGTTTTCAGCATAACGCCGCTCAGCATCACATCTGGGCTGCATTGCTTTCCACTGCCTCCTACTTATGCAAACATACATGAATACCTAAAATGTAAAAAAACATTGTACGTGTTTGAGAACAATATGAGCATTCAGGAAAAAAAAATGGGCACAGCATGACTTATTTGACACTTAAGTCCAAAAAAGGTCACTGGAAGTGATAGGAAAATGTGAGAAAATATCCCCAAACCCCATCACTTTTTACTAAAAAGGCTGAGCAACTACACACACGCAGACACACACATTCATTAAACACAAAATCTGGTTTAATCCCCCCCAAATAACTTCTCTTTCTTATCCGTCTTATCCCGATGGCATCTAATCTCCATCCACCTCCTCCTCTTCCTCAGATTTACCCTGACACTGTCTCTCCTCCTGGGCTCCAGAGCTCTGTGCTGTCTGATTCTTTCATGCCCTCACCATCCTCACCTCAGATGTACGTTCCCTTGCATCAGCGTCAGCATCTGAACAAGAAGTCTTCTTGGCTCTGTCTCCATTTGGAAATAAAAATAAAAAAAGCACCCATGTGGCTTAGATGAAACTAATATTTCCGGTGACTCCCCCCCCCCCCCCCTTTCATAAAAATGTATGTTCTTTCACTCACTGATAGCACTGTTTTGCTATTGCTTGTGAAGTTGCTGATGGGGATATTCAGACAAGGCAGGTGTTTCTGATGATGGTGACTTATGCACACCCACGGCAGTCATTTATATCCACTACTGCTTATGTTATGTCATTAATCTTTATGAGCTTCTTGCTCTCCCATGGCTCTAGTCTGAGTTTAAACTGTGATTAAAGCCTGACCTTCAGAGAGCCATGAGCTAGAGCTCCAGCTTGTTGCAGGTGCTAGAATCTACTTCAGCTGTTGCACTCCAACTCTGCATTTCTCTGTGAAATGTCTGCTCAATACGTTGCACCAGTAGTTTGACTTGTGAATTCTTAACAGGTTACAGGTACCATTTGAAATAAGTTCTTCTATACCAGTTTATGTAATCAAATTACTTCTACATTCTTTGTTCTATTTTAACCATGCATACAACCATACATCAAAATGTTTGGCTTAATCAAGAACAACGTGTTTTTTCTTTTTTTGTATTTGTGACTTTTACTTTTTGTTGGAACAGTGAAGTGCAGGAAGCAGTTCAAAGAAAGAGGTTAGCCAAGAAGAAATATGACAGTGAGAGGACTGAAGAGAGGAAACAGGAATATAAGGAGATGCAATGTAGAGCAAAGAGGAAGGTAGCAAAGGCAAGAAAGAAGGGGTCTGATGAGTTGTATGGGAGGCTGAACACTAAAGAGGGAGAGAAGGACTTGTACTGTATGGCAAAACAGAGGGATCAGGCTGGAAAGGATGTGCAGCAGGTTAGGCTTGTTAAAGATAGGAATGGTAATGTTCTAACAAGTGAGGAGGGTGTGACGGAAAGATGGAAGGAGTACTTTGAGCAGCTAATGAATGAAGGGAATGAAAGAGAAAGAAGAGTAGTAGTCATAGGAAACTGTGGACCAGGAGGTGGGAAAGTTTAGTGAGGGTGAAGTCCGGAAAGCTCTGAAAAAAAATGAAGAAGAGGGACAGTAGGTCCTGATGACATACCAGTGGAGGTTTGGAAATGTCTTAGAGAGATGGCAGAGAGTTTTTTGACTCAAGTATTCAATGTCATATTTGAGGGTGAGAAAATGTCTGAGGAATGGAGAAGATCTGTGGTGGAAATGGTCTCCAGATACAAGTACTTAGGTGTGCACCTGAATGACAACCTCAGCTGGGGCAACAACGCCACCAACCTGATCAAGAAAGCTCATCAGAGACTCTACTTCCTCAGGCAGCTGAGCCAAACTGGTCTTGAAAGCTCAGTCCTCACCTCCTTCTACAGGTGTGCAGTGGAGAGCATCCTGTGCTCCAGCATCAACGTGTGGCATGGAGGCTGCACAGCTGCAGAAAGAAAAGCTTTGCAGAGAGTGGTGAAGGCTGCACAGAAGTCTGTTGAAGTCAGTCTCCCCACCATCACAGACATCTACACCTCTAGTTGCAGGAAAAGGGTCACCAACATCATGAAGGACCCCACTCACCCAGCACACACACTTTTTGCCCCGCTCCCCTCAGGAAGGAGGTTAAGGAGCATTAGGTGTAGAACCACTAGACTGAGGAACAGCTTCTACCCTGAAGGCTGTTAGACTTGTGAATCTCTAACCAGGATAATTACTGTGAAAAATCACATCATGTTGCTGCTGATCTGTTTCATGTTGCTGCTGATCTGTTTCATGTTGCTGCTAATCTGTTTCATGTTGCTGTGTTCATTCGTGCTCATCTGCTCACACAGATTCATGTTCGTGCTGCTGTTCGGAATATTGTTTTTATGTTATTAGTGCTTAGTGTATTTTTTGTTAATGTTTTTCTTAGTTCATATCTTAGATTTTATTACTGTTTTTCTTTTACATTTTAATACGTTGTTGGATGTAACTGGGATCCTGTGTACACAATTTCATTCCACCACATGTGCCACATGTGGTGCGAACAACAAATAAAGTATCTTGACTCTTGAAACCGGAGCACTCAGAGAAAACCCACACATGCACAGAGAACATACAAACTCCGCCCAGAAAGTTTCCCAGCCTGGATTCAACCTTGTAACCTTCTGTCTGAGAGGTGACAGCTCTGCCAACTGGGCCACCGTGCCGCCCTTTTAGCTAGATTTAGTCAATTTTAGCTTTTAGCTATTGCACAAATGGGAAAACAAAGTAAGACATTGGACAGATGGATGGATAGATGATGGACGTTACAATTTTGTGAATTTTAGCTTTTACCCAATGTTTTGCTGAATTTAGCTTATGTTCTTATTGTTTTAAATGTATTTTTTTATTTAACTATTTATTATTCAATAAAAGGAAACATCCAATAAATATCATCAGTTATTTGGCACTCAGCATTCACCCTACATTTTCACAAAAATTGCTATTTTCTCTAGCTTACGCTTTCATTACTAAAAGTCGAAAAGATTTTCTTCCTTTACACAACGGTGGTGAGAAGAATAAAATAAAAGCATCCACATGAGAATTATATAAATCAGAGAGCACAATGAATTTGACAGACTGAGACACCTGAAGGTGAAGAAATACATATTTTATGTTTGAGTTAGGAGTCTAATGAATAATGATGTCAGAATGACAGATAGCCAAGTCTTAGTCAGCATTCAGTCGATTGTTTCATCTTAATTTATCTTCTGCATCCATCTGCAGCTCAGTTTGGTTTCCTTGTTTTTATTTCATTACTAGAAAATTGATTTATATGACTGTCCCCATCTGTTTATCTCACTTGTTTATCAACTGACAAAATTTACATATTTTTTCATTTGTTTTTCATTTTGTCTCTGCCTGTTTGAGACCCGTTTTCCATCCATTCAGTATTTATTTATGCCAGTTTATTTTCTCTAACAACTTCTCATCTTAATCAATTCAGTTTTTGTTTTCTATTCAAAGCACAAATTTACAACGTGGGACACATTTGATTGTTGGTGTAAAAAGGTC